CTATCTCTTAGAATCTAAAGGTAAAGAGGAAAGGAAGGAAAGAAGCGCCGGAAGGCAGAGCATATATGCAGGTGAGCGGTCACGTGAGTACTTAGCGAGCACGTGACTCCAGAACCGTGACACGTACGAGTTAAGCCTCGTACGATACTCTGTATATAGCTGGCTTACTGCCCTTAGTTTTGAGGGCAGACTCAATACCACAGATAGAAGGAATATAACCTCATCGTGGTACGGTCTCATCCAAACGAATCACGTGATTATTTGCTGTATACTGCGTTTCTAACAATAATAAATAAAATTATTATTAAATTTAATAAAAAATTTAAATATATATATAACAGTACGCACTCTAGAATATGGAATCAAGACGTATATACTAATCTGTGAATAATAGACAAAGAACTAAAAGAGTGGAAGAGTGTTGAGGGCAGATAAGCTGGATCTTCAAACACTAACTGAAACAATCACGTGACCAAAACCCTATTCAACCCAGAACCGTGATACTTGTAACGCCTCGAATTCCTATTCGAGACCACGTGCTTACTACTCACTTCAATTATCAATACCAACCGACGAACCGGCGGATCGTTACAACAGGCCAATAGATATAATAGAACAAGGGGGAACGGCCGATAGGGCTTTCAACGCCGTCGACGAGATAATCGATAACATGACTACAATTGTAGTATTTTCTTATTGCAAACCGAATTCTTATAGAGAAATAGCTGAAAAAACAATAACAAACTAATTATAACTTTATATATTTACGTGGTGGAGATTTAAGACCCCTAAACCATGAAGTCGTTCCGGCACGCAGGGATGGACGTTAGAAAAGTTAAAATCTTCACTGCCTTCTATTTGTATGTAATTCTTCAAGATTAAGAAACCTGGCAAATTCACTGAGCTGCTGGGCTCGCTTAAGCTGCCACTCATATCTACGGAAGTAAAGTGACCGTTCTGCTAGACATAAGCATACCTCATCGGTTACACGCACGATCTCACCTAAGAGACAGGGGGCAAAGACAAGGGGCAAAGACAAGGGGCAGAAACTGGTGCGGAAAGTTAATGTCCAATAGCCGCATCCCAAAAATTCCATTCTTGGTCTGAATTCAGGTACCCTATCTAGCTCCCTTGCCTAATTCTAATTATATCCGGGATCGACGAGGAGCCGCATCGGTGCCTCAATCGTCCAATAGAGATAGGGTCCAAGCGACTCCCTCTGACTCTTTCCAACTATAGCCTTATGGATCGACATGAATCAACAGGGGGCCCGATCGAGCCCCCGCAACCAGTTCGACAGCGAGAGTCAGAGACGCTACTATAATCCCCTACAACGCTTACTCTAAACCACTTTCTTAATGAGTTGATCTTAAAACCTTTGAATCCCACAACAACGAGCTGTTGCTTCAACTAGATATCGAAACCCATCATTTATAAGAACAAGTCCAGCCCTACCCATTTGACGATCCTCCGTTGCCTGCAGTCCCGCCCATTCAATTATGGATTCTATTACGTCTCGAAGCATGTCTCCTACGCTTAAAGTGGTTTCAGCTGGGCGATCCACCAGAATGATACCACTGGTAATAGGATATGGCGTCCATTTGATCACTACGTGCTTGTTGAACGGGCTCACCTCGGGAATGAGCGTCTCTGAAATTTACGAATGGCTTGCTGAAAAGTATCCAAGCTACCTATATACAAAATGTAAGATTCGCCATGTTCTAAGACATGATTCCGAGAGAACGAGTCCTAGATTTGTTATTGCTAACAGAAATCGTGCCGCGGGAGTGCTAATTCAATGGACTATTCGGCCTGGAACAGAGGCTCAACTCCGCCGATTGTTCAGTGGCCCTTCCCCTGCCGAGCCTCAATTTCCCCAATCCTACGACCGCCTTTCTCAACCAATTCAGTGCGTTCTGCACCAATGAGAGGCCCATCCTAGCCACGCAGCCATGTCCCAGGCCATCAATACATCGGCGGCAATATACGATCCTGGGGTGGGGTCAAAACATGCTGTTGGCGAAGCCCAGTCTTCTGCAATTACCAATACCCGGCGTGGTCGCACTCGGGACCGCCGGCCTTCAGAAGAGGAGCCCTTATCAATACTAACCACGTTTCAGGAAGCTGACAGGAGTGAGGTCGTTCAAAGTCCTGATAGAGTAATCAGGAGAAATGACGCTCTTCAACGGAGACTTCGATACTGTTCCCGGAGGGAGTTGTCTGTCGATGGCAGCACGAATCACAAGTTGTACACTAACGCGGCGATAGTATCAGCCCGAGGGATAGTAGAGCTGGCTCGAGTAAAGATCGATGGAGGCAGCCTTCACAACCTTCTTCCTCGATCGATAGCCAGTAGACTTGGATTACCTCTACACTTCGGCAGCAGTATTAGAGTAAGAGTTGCTAACTACACAGCTCTGGCCGATGAATATTGCCGATTAACCATCAAAGTAGCTAGTATTGAAATAGTAATCAATACTTGCGTGGTTTCCGAACTCTCTTCCCTTCTACTAGGTTGGGAATGGACTCAATAGGTTAATCAGTTGAGTGATCTTGGAAATTACAGGTACTATATCCCAGGCTCGCATGGGAACTTGAACGAGCTTCCCGTTCCTAGGCCTATAATTGACGCCGAGGCCGAGATGGAGTTTGCAATGGAAGAGGAGATTGCAATAGGAGCTGCTATAATAAGAGAAGGGACTTTAATGGCTGAAGAGGCGCCAACCGCTCTTAGGGGTGATGAAGGGCACGGCGATGAGGAGTACGAGCTTGGTGAATTGGCAAATGAAGTAGTCTGGGTTTCAGTGTAGAATTTCAGCTTGCTCTAAGTTCTACTAGACCGAATTCGTGTACTTCGTGCTAAAGCAGGCCGAATAACATTACTAGATTTCAGACTATTTTAGCTTAAAGTATGAATAAGGCACATACGCCATCGTGTAGTATATTAAGTCAAACCGATGTACACGCAGTTGTAGTACTCCGAATCTAAAAGTAGTTTCAAGTAGCAAACTAGTCGTGGTTATTACTCACCCACAAGGTGATTCGTTGCACTACATTTTGTCCCGATCGTGCTTGGCGTATAAGGAATACTTGGAGTTGGGGAACGGAGCAAAACTGGGCTCCCTAACGCTGGCGCATCCATTGTGATAGCGCTTGACGGACGACAGCGTTGAAAAGGAGCAAAATTAGGCTCCCCAACGCTGGCGCACCCATTACGATGGCGCTTGACGAGCGCCGGCGTTGAGAATGGAGCGAAATTGGGCTCCCTTACGCTGGCGCATCCGTTGCGCTGACGCCTGAAATTCTAGACGCTGATGCTCTGACTTATCTTGGTCACGACATTGTTAGTTCCATTCCTCAGTCTGATGTTCTGACCCATTTTGATCACATCGTCCCAAAGCCATATCACGTGAGCTAGCAAGCATCTTCCTTATTTACTAACGACGTTTCTCCCTACTTGGGACTAGTTCTGTCTAGTGTACCCTACAAACTGTATTTGAGCTAGACAACCCTTCTCTCCTCAGGTGAGTGTTTTGTAATAAGATACAAATAATAACGAGAAGGCGAACCGAGATATTGTATTACTTATCTTGGAGAGCCTGTGACGTCGGATCTGGGCTTCTGTGTGTCTCTTGCTAAGCTGGGCCAAGATATCAAGAACTATGCGGACGGAAGCAATAAACTATTACACAGCTAGCTAATGAAATATATGAGGATTTTGCTTACTACTTGTGGCTGCTCTGCGAGTTTCCGAGCTTGGTTATAATCTATAATCTTTAAACTAAGCTTTCGCTAAGAGTGGAGATGCTACAGTACAAACCACTAGATTTGCTAGAAGATATATATCTTTGCTTTTTTGAGTTTGAGGAGGAGGTGAGGAGGTTTTGATATCGAGGCTCAGTCGTGTTAAAGTTGGCCCTAAGAATGGAACTAATGATGATCTGACCTTTTTGGTCAGATCATCAATGCTAAAAATATCCTTAATGGTGTGGAGCTAGCAATGTTCTGGCCTTTTTGGTCAGATCATCAACGCTAAAAATATCGAAGCAAGGTTCCCGGTGGAACGCTCCTCGGTTATTATGGCGACCAGGACAGAACTTCTAGGAGGGCAGGGCTCCCAGAAGAACACTCCTGTGAGACAGCTCCTGAGTCACTATGCTAGGTAAAGCCTTTATAGTCTCAAGTCTTTGCAATAATTTGACTTATAACGGACATGACTAGAACAGAATAAGTTTACCATACTCCCGAAGAAGTTAGAAGTAGGCAAGCAAGTTAAAGGAAATAAGCAAGGTCATAGTTGGATTAATACTATGTCGTCTATCCACTCATATCATCCCGTCGTCCGCCACTCACGCTATCTAAGGTCTGTGCAATTGTTTGTTGTTTCCAGAAATAAGGAACCCTGTGGCATATTATGAAGACTGAAGCCGAGTAAAGTGGCATTATAAAGGGCTAAACCGCACTAAGTCTATTCTTAGAATTATGGGTTTAAATTTGGCTCCTTAACTTTTGTTTCAGAAGGGGATGATTCAGGCCCCGCGTGCAGTCAACCCTTCGACTAAGATTCCAAACTTGGTTCCCATGCTCCCGTTTCTAATGCGCTTATTGGCCAGTAAAATCAAGCAACGAAAACGCTTTGGACGTACGAAAAGAAGATACTGTGTAAGTGCTGCTGGGTCTTTCTACCGCCCCGGAAGAGAGACCCTTATCCGGTATAATAGCGTTTATACTCTGTGCGGATTGGTTATTAATTCCTAAAGCGAGAAGCTTTTGTATAAAGATAGTCGAGGATGCAGGGATTAAGCGCTAACAAGGGTTTAATAATTATTTGAAAAGAGAACCCCTGTCTAGTGTAAATGGAAGGAATAAAATCCGAGCACCTGATGACAGAATAGGGCAGGATCAGAATAGCAAATCACGGGGGACAAGTGGCATTATGAAGGGGCGGACTGTACCGAGTCTATTCATAGAATTAAGGGATCCAAATCGGCTCCGAAAGAACCCCTGCCTTACTCTTTCCGATTTTAGCCAGCGGCAGTCGTAGCTGAGGAGCCTAAACGGGTCGCCTTCGGCTCACCTCTTATGACACACTGCTCAGTCTGGCTCACCAACAGCTCAGGCTATAGCAGCAACAGCTCAGGTCCAAAGACGGAAATGGAAATTGCTCAGGTCGAGATTCCGATATCGAACTCCCTGTTTTAGTAAAGTCTCGAAACGAACCCTGTAACTACGGTGATGCACGCCCAATTTATATGCTTTGATCCCCAACTCAGTTACTGCTTTCTACGATATCAAGGCACAACTTATTTTAGTAGTATCACACGAGCGATATGGACTAGAAGCATTGCAAACTATAATTATATTCAACTACTTATCAATCAACGAAAGAATCCAGTCAGTTTTGCCAGTGGGGTATCGATATTTGTGTCCAAACTCCTTTGTTCCAAACTCCCTTATTCCAAACTCCTCCATTCCAAACTCGAATCAAGTCTATCTAAAAGGACAGCCTAATCTTCTCTCGCAACAAAGCTTTTTTAGTGGGGAGGTGCGCCGGGAAAAGGCCAATGCAACTAAGTTTTGTAAGGATGTAATCGATTTGTATTGCTAGATAAGTTAGTATATTCTCGAAATAAAGGTGTAGGTGAAATTTACTCGCGAAGTTGCGAATATTATCAATAATGGCTGGGAAATTGATAATTAGTAGACTAGTATTGATGCTCACAAGAGGCTTGATTTGTCTCTGATTGTCACGGCTAAGCAATATTCTGTTCATCGTACGCGCAAGGGCATTCGCATCCTTAAATTGTGTATTAGTTTTAACAACCATGAGATTACACAACTATTTACAGAGCCAGAATTCGCGCTAATAATATATTAATTTTGTTGTATATATTCGCAGAATCCTATTACAAAATACGAATATCACCGCAAATAGTGTGTATATTTGCACGCATAATTTAAGTATTTTGTCGCAATAAATTTATATCGGTTTATAGTTGTTAAAGAATTTGCAAGATTTATGCTTGTATATTACTTTGAATGATAGTAGGCATATTTTGCAAATTGCTTAGCTGGGTAATAGTTATTTGTACGCTTTGTGCAATTTGCGTGAAGTTTTAGTTAATTAAATGGAAGTTGGGTTGAGGGCTAATAAGAGGAGCGGGGATGATGTTGATAAGACTTGGTCCGGGAGCTAAGTTAGGAGCGGCTATTCTAGTTGTATTGTAACGAAGAATTTAAGAGAGGCAAGCGTATATTGATAAAAAAAAGTTAATTGTTGATAGATTTGTACGAAGGTTTAATGAGCAAAGAAGTAAAGGATGAGTAGCTCTGGTTTTCAAGCTAAGCTATTTACTTATTGCTAAGTTAGCCACTAAACTATATAAAGATAAGGAGCAAGTGGAGTCATCATCGGCTAGCGCACCAACCTCCCCAAGCTCTCGCTTAGTTAAAGCACCACAGGACGAGATCTAGAATCGAGAACGCAGCGAAACCACCGGTGGCAAACTAGAAGAGCTGCGAAATACTTGTCAACGCGGTACCCCAGCTCAGGGCCTTGAGTGGGAGCAGGAGGAGACTCGAGTGGTTGTAGAACCATTGGAGGGGAAGGAACTAGGGGAGGAAGTGCTGGTGGGAGAAGCGGGGGGGGGGGGGAGGGGGGGGGGGGGGAGGGGGGGGGGGGGGGTAGAGATATAGTAGCAGGGGGAGCTTGCAGGGCGGCCAGCCCTGGGTGGTCAACAGAACTTAGCAGGGGTAAACGATACGAACAATCCTACAGGCAAAGAGGCCACCAAGGCTCTGCTAACCACGCAACTAGAGATCGATAATCACTATTTTCGACGGCGTGGGATACGCACCCAGCAGCTTGTTAGACGTCAGGCAAAGACAGCTTAGTACCGAGTCGTATGGGGCGAACATTTAAACAAGTCTAATTTTTGGATTAACGACGATAATATGTAAATATCAATACTACGGCTGCCTTAGAAGCGATCTTTTAAGACTTAGTCCCAGGTAGAAAGGGACATTGTACGAGTTTATCGCATGCGTTACAGCAAGCGTAGCAAAAGCCAAAAAAATTTCGAGTACCTAGTCGACGAGTTTTCCACCTGGGTTATTAAAGATTAATTGAGAATTTCGCTTAGCTTTATGTTGGTTACTAAGCTTTAAAGTAATTGAATGCCCTTTTTTGGATTTTTGAGGAATAAGTTGCTAATGGAATACATTTCGAACAATGTCTTCTCTCTATTCTTTAACCCAAACACAGCGTGAGGTCTATTTCAAATATTCAACAACTCCGATCAGAAACGAACATTACTATGCATCACAAGCCTCTCAAAGCTCTTCTGCCCCAGCCGACCCGGCGCGGAAGCGAGAGCACCAAAACGCGCATACAGAGATCAGCAGCGACACTTACCATTCCACGAACACCGATGACAACCACAACGCCTGCGATATAAGCGACGAGGACCCACGACTTGCAAAGAAACGAAAGCCACGCTTAGCGCTTGCTGTGATTTTAGCCACTTCTCGAGGGTATACCCTAGAGCTCCATATCGGACAGCCTAGATTTTTTGTAGCGTTGTCAATCGCTACACCGAAGATTAACGACGCGCAACTTTAAGTTAATCACGGATATCCGTCAACCTTAATCAATAGCCACCACTATGCCTCACGAATTTTTCGAAAGTCTTGACCTCCGGCGTATCTGGCTACCTGCACTACCATCTCCACTTGTTTTTATTACATCGGCTGGCACGGTGTGCGACACTTTACTTGATACCTAGAGCTCATTTTGCTCTTTCCTCTGGAGCATTTCTAAGTAATGTCGCTGGCATGCACGCGTAGTCGGGTGATCGTCTCCGAGGACCACGCTATAGCCGTCACATGCTCTCTGGTACAAAGTGGTGGCCTCGTCATAAAGATCTTGTTGCGCAAGCAAGTGTGCGAGACCATATACACTCGTCAGCGTGTCGGGGTGCTCTTTGCTAAGCACTTTTTTACTCAGCGCTAGCGTCTGCCTATACATCACTTCGGCCTCTTCGTACTTGCCCTGGCTACCTAGCACTAACGCCAAGTTGTTCATGCTTATTAGCGTGTCTGGGTGCTCCTTGCTAAGCAACTTCTCTCTCAGTGCCAGCGTCTGCCTGTGCATGGCTTCGGCCTCCTCGTACTTGCCCTGGTTGTCTAGCACTAACGCCAAGTTGTTCATGCTCGTCAGCGTCTCTGGGTGCTCTTTGCTAAGCACTTTTTTACTCAGCGCTAGCGTCTGCCTATACATCACTTCGGCCTCTTCGTACTTGCCCTGGCTACGCAGCACTCCCGCCAAGTTATTCATGCTCGCCAGCGTGTCTGGGTGCTCCTTGCTGAGCACCTTCTCCTTCAACGCTAGCGTTTGCCTGTGCATCACTTCGGCCTCCTCGTACTTGCCCTGGCTACCTAGCACTCCCGCTAAGTTATTCATGCTTATTAGCGTGAACGGGTGCTCCTTGCTGAGCACCTTGTCTTTCAACGCCAGCGTCTGCTTGTGCATCACTTCGGCCTCCTCGTACTTGCCTTGATTGTCGAGAGCTACTCCTACTTCATTCATACTAATGAGTGTTGATACGTCCTCATTTCCTATATTTTCCCTCCTTAGCGAAAGCACTCGTCGATGCGTCTCCTCCGCTACTGCGTACTGACCCAACGTGACTTGACATCGCCCGATTCGGTCGAGAAGCGAGGCTCTTTCCGTCTCGCTTAGCGTGCTGCGAAGATCGGCTATATGAATCGCGTGTGGTAGGTAGCTTATCCATTTTGATCTTCCCTCATGTCCACCATATGGGACTAGCTCTTCTAACCTGTCATATGCCGTCTCTGTCCAGGCTGTCCAGTCGTTGTGCTCCTTCAGCCACCATACAGTCGCTTTCTGCACTAGTCGATGGACGTCAAAGAGTCTCTCTCCTTCTACTTGTTGAGAATCCTGCTGGCGCTCTGCGATAAAAGCGTATCCTGTAAGCGTCCCAAGCGCCTTGAGTCGCTGCACCGGGGTGCCCTCAACGGGAAGTAGCGATTGTGGGATGTTGATCCGGTCAATACATGCTATAAAAGACAGATAGTCTGCGGCAAGCTGATCCTGCTTAAGGATCTGGTCGAAAGATATCTGCCACGTCCTCGCTATCGTGCTTTCTGTCTCCCGATACCTGCTTGGGTCTTCGAAGCGCTCGCTAAAGATCTCGACCTCGGTATCGACTTGTTTGAATAGGGACACGTAATCCGATATCAACACTTGATTGCTGTTGATAAAGGCGACTGCCTGTACAATAGCTAGTGGCAGGTACGTGAGAAGTTCGAGCAATTCGTTGGTAGCGCTTTGATCGTCAAGCAATGTGCCTTTTATTATTCGCCGTGCCATGAGCTGCTTCGCCTCAGCTTTGGTTATGTCTCCGAGCTCTAAGACACTGTTCTGCGTCAAGCGCTCAGCCGCCTTCCTGCCTCGTGTCGTGAAGAGTATCGAGCCTCGATCGCTGCGTGGGAGATAGTCGTACAGTCGGCCTGGCCGCGGATCGTCATTCGTATTGTCCAGAAGGATGCTAGGGTCGTCAGCATTGTCAATGACCATTAGCCAATCACCGAAATCGCCCGAGTCCAGTTTATTTTTAACAAGCTGTTTGACGTCGGCGTTGTTATCTGTGATTCCTGGTATGCAAAGCAGGGTTCCTATCTCGCGGTACGCAATCTCAAACGTCTCTCGACTAATGGCTGGTACCCAGAGAACCAAGAACGGAGAATGCTTTGCTATCATCCGATATGCGAGTTCGAGAGCCACCGCCGTCTTGCCACCACCCCCCAATCCATAAATAGATATCCGTCGATGTTTAAGTGACGGGCAAAGCCTCTCTTCGAGGGTCCGGAGGTATTGTTCGCGTCCGACAAAGAATTCGTTTCGTGGAAATGGGAGTTGCGAGGAGACTATGTTTTGTAAGCTATACTAACCCAAGTGTTATTCTATCGGCCGTGGGATGTAATAAAACATACCAGAGACCTTTTGTGCTCTCGCTGCAGTTAAGCTGTCCGATGAGTCCGCCTGCCCTTGTATCTCTTTCCTTAGCCGCCGAAATGCGTGCTCTTCTCCCTCACCGTATATCAATGGCAAAAAAATGCCGAAAATTCCTAGTAAACAATACGCCCGATCTTCCTCTACTGTTGTTCTGCGTCTTACAACCCAACTCATTCGCTCATCAACGCGAAACTCCCGAAGATTATACTTCCTTAACGCTTTAATGGGGATCTGGGTAATCTCGTGAATCTCTTGTTCCAGCGTTATCTTACTACCTAATTGCTTGCCATTCGCGGAGAAGAACTCGACGTTGGCCGGTGCGAGAAGCTCTTGCAATGTCCAGCCCCGGGTAAACCACCGACTCCTTCGAAAGGCGTCCTCCCATGTGATCCGAAATGCTTGCGCATCAATAACCTCATCTAGGACATGCACGTCTGAGAGATACACATAGCATTTGGTCGCACGCTGGTACCAGCGGAACATGCTATTGAGAGCTGTGCCGAGCTCGGTATTATCCCGCTTGTCGATGCAGCAGGTATCCACCCAGAAGTAGCTCACATCGTCCTTCGTAGCTCTTTCGCTACAGAAACGGAGTTTGGCGTAACCAGCCTTGTTCTTGCCCTCGCCAGCGACCAACTCATCGTATGTGACTTCTTCGCCTTCCGACCAGGTGTGGGATAGTATGGCATAGGGAGGAGTGTCGTCGGTGTTGAAGTTACTTAACTCGAAGCCGCCGCCTGGTTTGTTTCGGAGAAGGCGCATTCTGGCGTAGGCAGGTCGTGACGCGTGCTGCGATGATCTGGATAAATTCGCAAGAGCCGTATATCATGATATAATTTCTCTTGACGCGGGAAGGGACATCGTGGAGAAGCATGCAGGTGGTGCCCAGCACAGCACAGCGCTGCGGCGGCACCAATCCTCAGCTCGTGCTCCCAGTCAGACCCCTGCGCGGCTATACTTGCTTCTGGAAGTTATCTTACCCCGCGAGTGTCACGTGGCTTCGGTTCAGCCTTATCGCCTGGGCCCCACACCCCAGCCTAACCATTCCGCCATCGAGAACTTGCATTCACCTCTTCGGATCTGAAATCATACACCCTGCCCACAAAAACCTCTACAACAAGCAATTATTCCTGCAATTGCCCTACTCAGACAACCCCCTTCTTTAGCCTTGCTTGTAACGATCTCAGTTCTGTCTGAGAACCAGTCACGAAACCCTGCTTCCTCAATTATATCAATATCACCATCATCCTACCTTTCTGCAATGGCCCCTCCAGCCAACAACCAGAACGAGGAGCCCCAGAGCTGGGCCAAGAATATTGAGGCTGAATCCGAGCAAGACGAACGTGCCAAGCCATAGGAAGATATTGTGAAGTCTCGGCCCACTAATACTTCTGATCGCGACATTGTGAATGTCGAGACAAACCCTCAGGCGGCTTGTGATATCAGTGTCTCTGCCTAGATTCGTCCAACTTCCACCTCACAAAACCCTTGAAGGCACTCTGGGATCAAGTCTAGAGCAGCAGAATATTTTCGAACGCGGAACTTCGAGATGAGCGCATGTTGGAAGCGTTGATGGGTTCCGAATATCCTTGGATTTTGCTTCTGCTTGAATGAGCTTGGTTGATGAGTTGGCTGAGATTGCAGATTTTAGATTGCAAGGAGAATGAATCACGGTCGCTATTTGTTGAAATAAGGGAATTCAACGGATAATCAACCTTTCATATCTGTGACACATGTTATATGGAGTCCTCCAAAAATAGCCAATAGATTCCTGTGAACTTTTGACGTGGTGACCTGGTATTAGTGGGGATTTGACTTGCCTATCTTTTTTCATTTTCCATTCATGTCTCTCTACCATCTTCCGACTACATTTTTATTTCATACACAACCCCATTCAAACATATAGTAGGATGAGTGCCCCAAGAAACGAAACAACAACCCTTAATTACGCTAAATGGCTTCCAATCTACGAGAAAGAAGTCCCGTATCAGATCATCAGCGCATTTGCGGGAAATTATAAGAAAACAAACCTGGAACTTGGGCCAGCTCCATGCCCCGAAGTCATCCATGACATGTGTGGCATGGAGTCTAACTTCACCGCCGACAGTCATGGTTTCCAAGTTTGTCACCAAGAGACGACAATTCAGAATTGGACAAATAGAGAAGTTGTCGAGTCGCAATACTTTGCAGAGATGGAAAGTCTATTGAAAAAAGAACCGGATGATGTAGATGAGGTGTTCTTCTATGACTGGAGGAGGGTGAATAACTGAGTTCGGATGACAGAGTCAACGTTTGCTGACCACAATATCACGTGTAGCCACGGAAGAACATACCCTTCAAAACTGAGGGCATTGTAGAAGTTGATCTCGAGGTCAATAGCCAATATTTGTTGCCTGTCGGAAACGCACATGTAGGTGAGTACAGAAAGCACTCCGCTGACAGCATTCGTCAAAGGCTGATGTCGCACCCTCAAGACCTGTCAGCCGCGGGTGTCTTTAAGCGTGTCCGTTCTCATATGGGCGACAGGGCCGAGTCGCTTCTACAAGGCAGAGTCCGCGCCATGAAGTAAGTCGACAAACGAGTCTTCTGAGCTTTCTAGCAGTGTTAAACAGTGTTTGGACGCCTACTTGTAGTTGGCCAGTGAGAGACAGACCGCTGGCGTTGTGTGATGGGACTTTTGTAAAGGACACCAATCTTTTGCCTACCGATCACATCAAAAAAGGTTACATCGAGCAGACCAGTAACTTGATGTACCGCTCTGGCTTTCGTTGGTACTATTTGAGTGGTCAGAGAAAGGATGAATGTCTCATCTTCAAAATGTGAGATCGTCTGGAAGATGTCAAAGCTAAATGTAGGTACTCGACAATAACGTATTATTTTACCAATGACGAAGGCTGACTCGGCAGATTGTCCCCACGTTGCCTTTAAACATGGACAGATTGATACAGGAACTCAGCCAAGAGAGAGCATCGGAATAAGGGCTTCGGTGTTCACGTATCCAAAAGGCGCAATGTGACTGGAGGGATAGCTGTTTCATTGTGTCTCGAATTGAATATTCACCAGATCAAAACCATCTTTCTGTTCACCAATCAAGCTTTTCACCATCTAAGTGCAGAGAACTGCCCGTGTGACTGAAGTCGACCCCATCAATAACCTTTATCATCGAAGCCACGGCTTCATCAGCTTTGCCTGGGCCCGTCCAACCAGACATCTTTGGCTGCATCCTGGATTGAATGATCGTCGCCGAGATCGAGAAGGATAGTCTTGGCTCCAGACTCCAATAACTGGCAGAGGGTACGAATGAGCTTCGAAAGCACTCCCGGAAATTGAGCATACCTCCTTGGCCTCATCCACAGACTCTTTTCGATATGTGCCATATACATGAAGGCCTCTCTTGAGATATTGCAGCGCAAACTGAAGGCCAAGACCTCTTTGCACCCACAACAAGGACCGTCGTCGTAGAAGCCATGTTCACTTTATTGCAGAGAATATGTATTTGATTCTGGGTGTTTGTAAGAGCTTCAGATGTTCGATTGCCAAGTTTACTGTGCTCTTTAAGAAGGCATGGCTGGTGGTTCAGTTTTCAGGCTCCAGACCTCGCCTAACGACGTGGGGTCAGGCATGGCAAACTCCCCAAAAAATGCGGCTCATGCCCGAGCAGAGCCTTGTTGCGGCGCTTCATTGTCGCTCGCTGCCCCTACCGGGCGCTGTACAAGGCGCAATCATGCTACACCACGTTGAGACTGTGCAGACTATGATGCAGTGAAACCCATTTGGACTGCGGTGCAACAATAGTTAAGTCGAGACAGAAGAGAAGATCAGTTTATTTGCCTTTATCCTAGAGGAGTAATAATCATAGCATGGTAAGACAAGGTCGGCCAACTCATTCAAACTTGAGCATCTCTATCATGATTTGGTGAAGTGCTCTGCCATTCATCACGGACATTATTCTCAGGCTTGCGAAAACTTTCCTAGTGATCCCTAAAAGCATCATGACAACACGCATACCTTTTACATGTGCCTCGAATTGTCAAAGACTGATACCAGAGACTCGAGACTGACTATCCCCAAGTCGGTAGAAGTTTTCACCCTCTACTACATCTCCGTCATGCACCCAATTCAAAATTTTGAACCCTTTCTCGTCCTCTGACTTGAAGCTCATTAAGTAATATTGAGGTCTGTAGGCAGGGAAAAGTCCATGCTTGATTTGGTCGTCGAATGTTAGGAACCAGGAGAAGACATCTTCGCGGTAGTGGTGAAGAGGTAAAGCTTGGGACTTACGTCCCTGCCAGCGGAGTTCAAGCGAGTCTTTAACCACAGCGATATCAATGAGGAAAACGCCGCCAAAGCCAACGTACGATCCCGCATATTTTGCAAGATCTTTTGGTGGGTTTGAGAGGTCTTTTCCCGCTTCAAGCTTGTTTGTCAACTCTTCGTACTTTTTGATTGCTCTCTTAGCGCTAAGAGAAGCCAGACGAGCATAATCATTTCGAATAGGACTATCCAGCAACTTCTCGACAAGCAGTTGACCGATCCAGTCCGCAGCGTCATTCAGAGCCATCGAATTTGTAAGGACGACGACCGCGGATTCAGCCTCGGGCAAAAGCATTACAAACGACGTGTCCCCAACAAGACTACTTTGATGCTAAAATGCAAGTCGTGAATCAATACCCTGAGCTAAAATTGGCATGTGATCGACAAGTCCTGGATTGACTCCAATGTTTCCAACTGTTCCCGGCAATTGACTTCTCGCCCAACCCCCAGCATAGCTTTTTTCCCTCGCTGTAGGGAGATCCATGATTTGAAGTGGTGTGAATAACCAGGAGACATCGTCGAAGAGTAGGTTTTCTGCAATATGTGAGGCCCTTTCCTTGTGATTGGTTTGAGCAGTCCAGCATTTCATCAAAGCCTTGTAATACTTGCTAAGATCGTTTGAAGTACTCATTAAGCTGCCCGACGCTCCTAATGCCCCGCTTGCACTGCTTCCAGGAAGAGGAACGTTGAATGGCGTTGCATCTGAAAAGGCGTTGTAAGTGAGAGAAGTATTGTCTGGAAGACTATTGACTTTGGTTGTGATACTGCGTGTCATTCCTATAGGATCAAGAATAGTTTGTTTTAAATACTCATGATAGGACTAACCAGATAATTTGGCGATAATTTCACCAAGCATGGCGAAGTAGATATTGTTGTACATAAACTTGGATCGAACGCTTTGAACTGAACGGAGTTGATTGAAAACTGCCGTAGCCTGTTCTTGTTTAAACATGAGCTCGCCTTCTGCGCCCAGCCATATACTATCTACTTTATAAAACCCTGTTCGATGTCCCAGCAAATCCGCAACAGTGCCGAATTGAGCAACTACCGGATCGCGACTTTGGGCTTCGGGAAGAATATCCTGAATGGTGTTATCTAACGTGAGTTTTCCTTCGACCCTCAGGCGATTGATACACGCTATAGTAAAGCTTTTGGTCATCGATGCGATGTGGAAAATCGTATCGGAGGTTACTAGTATGTTCTCGGCCAGATTGGAAAATCCAAAATTGTTAGAGTGAACTATCTCCCCTTGATTGATGACCAACACCGATACACCAGGAATTCCGGATACCTAGCATATTTTCTCAATCTCACTCCGGCTCGACTTGAAAACTTCTGAGAGCTTTTGATTTTTGGTCATCATCGATGAGCTAGAGATTCATTTAGCAATTCGCCCATATTCTAATCTGAAGTTCATCTTAACGTCCTACACGGTAGATCTTACCTGTGCTTCGGTAGGCCTGGAGAACAGAAGAGGCGTAGTAGCGAACACATCTGTCAGATTGACAGGACACCACACAAAATAGATAAACTGAGGAGAACCAATCGCATAATCTACAGGACTGAAATCGGTGTTTTTAAGCTCTGAAGCTGATCAAGGGTTAGTGGTATAATAATACAACCTCGTGTTTGCGAGGGAATAGAAAACACGTGCTGGGAACGACGAACATGTCATCGGAGCACGTGACTGAAGGTCACGAGAAGATTAGTTAGCTCCTTCGGAGCTTATAAGTCTCCGACTTCGTTAAAGACTTGATATATTTTTTTAATATATCATTTTTTATTTTTTTATTTTAAAACTAGAAATATAACTTAATATAAAAGTATACAGAATTTCACGTGACCGTGACCGTGACCGATGTTAAAAATCTAACAAAAAGAATTTTCCTAAGAATTATTAACTCACTGCAAGGATCAGTGAAATTCACGTTGAATCGTTGTGTTCTACTTGTTGGCCCATTAGCTATAATGTTTATTATGGTTCCGTTTCTCAATTCTGGAGTAAAGAAGCCTCCGAGCCGAAAAAGTCAACGGGGTTCTTTAGTTTACATTGTTGAGCATCTACGGTACACTTGCAATTCTCACCTCAAATTCCCTATTCAAAGTTCCGTTTCGATGCTCAGAAGATAACATTCCAAATAAGCTTAGAGTACTTATTAGCCCTTACCGTGCCGCAGCTACGAACAACCCAAAATCATTGGCTACCACTAGGATCCACCTGTCAGCATTTAACAACAGTCCCGAAGCAACAAACACTTCCTCCTTCTCTCCAATATAACTCACCCAAGCTTCAAAATGAGCGAACTTCTAACCCTCGCCAAAGGCCTCAACCCATGGCCCTTCTTCGCCCTTCAACTCTCAACCTCAATCCTCACCTTAGGCTTCACATCCCCCTCCTCACTCTTCCGCCCCACTATCCTCCCTTTCGTCGCGTCATGTACATACATCACCTGCCTCAACCTCCGCGAATTCACCTCAAGAGGATCATGGGCCGCTACCACCGCCTGTTTCTCCACCCTCTTCTTCCTCCAGTATCTCGAAATGGGCGTCCTCTCTCGCTGGAGCTTCGAAGCCCGCGGCCCTACTTCAACTTCCTCCAAGAACTCCCAAGACAGAGAAGCAAAGAAAGAGGATACAATCTGGACTCGCCTCAAATTCGGAACCTCCTCAATGATCTCATTCCGCGACCTTTACACCCCCCACGAAACCAAAAACTCCCCACACTTCTCCCCCAAAAACCCCTCTTACACCCCCTCCCGCTCCACCTTCCTCCTAACCAGCATCCCGAAACTGGTCCTCTGCTACCTAATCCTCGACCTCATCGAGTTCCAACCGCCTCCCCCCGATGCCTCATCTCTCTTCTCCCCCTCCAAGGTCCCTTTCCTCCTTCGCATTTTTTCCGGCGAGGAAGCTGTTACCGGAGAGGATGTCCTGGTTAGGATAGCGTCTAGTATTGGGTTCTGGATCTCGTTGTATTGCATGATTAGCGGGATGGCGTTGTTCCTAGGTGTTGTGTGTGTGGGGTTGGGGGTGAGTGAGGTGAAAGAATGGCGTCCTATAATGGGGTCTTTAAGCTCTGCTTATACGATTCGCGGATTTTGGGGGTAAGATCTCTTTCCCCCCTTTTTTTTCTTCTTCAATCTCTAGAGAACGATGGCTGAGAAGACAAAAAAAATAGGGAGTTCTGGCACCAAGGAACCCGAAAAACGTTCTCATACCCCTCTAACTACCTCATCGACCATCTCCCCGTCAAACTTCCAAGACTGCTAGCTCGGTACGCGAAGATCTTCCTCACGTTCTACGTCTCGGGAGTCGTGCACGTTATTGGGGATTGGACGGGCTTTATGCCGTGGGCGGAGTCGGGGAGTGTGAGGTTTTTTATGGCGCAGGCGGGGGGGATTTTGGTTGAGGATGCGGTGCAGTGGGTGTGGAGAACTTTAGTCGGTAAGGAGAAGGGGAAGGGAAACGAGAAGGAGGAGAAGAAGGGAGGGAAAGTGTGGATGAAGATCGTGGGGTTTGTGTGGGTGAGTATTTTTATGCTGTTCTGGAGTACGCCGGCTTGGATTTATCCGACTGCGAGGTTGAATGCTGGGGGTGTGGAGGGGAAGGTGTTGCCGTTTAGTGTTATTGGATTTTTTACTAGATGATAGATGTACAGGTGATTCTAGGTTTGATGTAATTATAGCTGATTGAGGAGAGTGTGATCTCCATGAATGTCTGCAGAACGGGAAGCTAACAACGTCCACAATAGCTAGCTAAGGTAGCCTGCGTTAATATCATGGACCTTCTATCCCCGAAAGAAAGGACCCGGTAGCCTACCATCTCACATCCGTATTGAAACTCCAAAACCTACCTCAAACATCAAACTCAATCCTCCCCTCCACAACCCCCAACGGCCACTCCATAATCCACTCCCACTTCCCGTCCTCTCCCTCCCTCCTCCCACTCTCCTTCAAAACCCCAGCAATACCCACCACATTCCCCCTCGCAATGCCTCCCTCCCCCTCATCCCCAAACAACCACCACACCCCTCTCTCACCCAGCACGTACATAACAGCATAAACCCGCGCCAACAACCCCATCGCAACCTCCCTCCCCTCATCCAGCATCTCCTCAAACCTCTTCTCGCTTCGCAGCGGGAACAGCGCTAACATATTCCTTGCTGCCGGGAACACCTCTTCTTTATTTCCTGTTAGGAAATTAATCATCTGTTTTTCGCTCTTGAGCATTTCCTCCAAGACTCTCTTCTCGATTTGCCCATAAGTAAAAGGCTGGGAGGAGTTATTCGTTTCCAAGAAATTCTCAACCCGATCAAGGTCGCGGAGCGCGGACTCGATGAACGTGCTGGAGTGCGGACGAGCGGCGAGTATGAGATCTGTGCGCGGACAGTAGAGCTCGTAGTACAACGGTCTAGTGCCGGGGAACGTGTGGAAGAGATCGATTGTCGCGCGGCCGAGGTGGAGGGCCCGGGTCGGGATGTGGTATTTTGAGTCTGGGCCAGGGCGGACGGCGAATTGGTTTTCGGTGAGGTAGATGTAGTGGAAGATGAAGAGCGCGGCGTTCAGGACTTCTTCTGGGTTGACTGTTGTGAGGTTTTGTAGGGCGTGGCGTTGTAGGGAGAGCGCTTTGGTCATGTAGTGGGCTTCGGCTGCTTGGAGCTCGGAGGTGGAGATTGGGGAGGAGGGGGATTGGGAACGGAGGTGGAATGCGGAGAAGGCGAGCATGGCGTCGAGGACGAGGTCGGATACGAAGCCTATTTGGGGTACGACGGTAGAGAAGATTCGGTGGGGATCATGTTTGCCGAATGAGGGGAGGCCGTGACATGTCGTTGTGGTGTAGTGATGAAGAAGTCTCATTTCTAGACGGCGCTGCTTGGAGGAAGTCGACTTACCAATGGGATGAGTGTCAACCACGTGTATTGGCGGAGGTCTGTAGGAATCATTCGAGCTCGTGTCTGAGCTTGTGTCTCTTGGAACGAGCTTCCGGGTCTTTGAGAGGTCTGTGGGGTGTGGGAAGTCGCATGCTATGAGGTCGGCACAACGACGAGAACAGTTATCGCACACAGGCCGATGCTCATCGCACCGCAAAGAAATGAGCTAGGCTTTAGATTAAAGGGAGGGGATGATCTACCTTGACTTTACGAGCTTTGCATGTGTTGCATCCATTTCTGCTCTTTTTGTGGGCTCGGCTCCAGACAATTGGGGCAGCGAGCATAGTACCTATGGGTCGTTGAAGACCCAGAATAGGCGCCGGCGAATTCCAAATTCGATCAATTTAGATGGATAGTCCAGAAAAGTCAGCTAGACGAGAATTACAAGTTGTCTCTTCAACCATTCAGTTTAATGGCCTCGATATTCTGTTTCTGCAGGTAAGTATTCAATGCGAACCCTTCATCACATTGGTGACCTACTACAACAAGGGTCAGAGACACGTAAAGATATGAAGATACAGATGAAGCAAGATGACTGTTGTGCAGCAAGATATCAAGAGCACACCACAGGAGATGCTCAATGACGTTGAACTTGATCAGCACTAAAATACTTGGCTATGATTGGTTCAATCGCCGAAGCCGAGAAAAGCGGGACCACTTAGTCTCCTGCCCCTGAAGCTAGCGTGTTAGCGAGAGGCACTTATACTTAGAGAATATCAAAAGGTGAAAAGGAAGTTCGCATCTATCAAAAGAGTCTGATTGGAATAGCTCTAGATTTGGATACAGGGTAGTATTGTTCCAGAGACTGTGTCCCGACGGCAACTTTAAATTTGAAAAAGGAAGTAAGCTCGCTTCCATCTGACATCTGGGCAAGCTTTTGCTCTTATATTGTCTTACAAGCTCTTAAACAATGCTATTTTCTCTTCCAATTCTTACAACAGTTAAAGGTAATCTAACTTTTGCATGCAAATAATGAAGGCGCACTAAGTGATGAGGAGGGTTGGGTTGGGTGAAGATTTGACCACACTATTCCGTTCTTCTTCTTGTCCATAGAACCCGCTAACTTCCAATTCACTCCTCAAATTCGGCCCACTTGACTCATGCAAGAGTCCACAACCTCACAGATCCTAGTGGTCAACACCTATAAATACCTCGTCGCCCTCCTCGCCTTCCTCGCCGTCGCTCGTCGCACACCATTTTCTTGGAATCGCGTTCGCTTACGCCTGGGCTTCTGGTCACAAGTAGTGTGCACTTTGCAAGCGATATGGGCTCAAGCGCTGACGTTGACATGAGGTTGATGATTTATGAGATTGTTCTGAGGGTGGTAAAAATTATAAAGAGCGACGAGTTAACAGCAGGGAAGAAGTATTGACAACGAAAGGCTGGCTTGGCAACAGAATGAATGACAAAAAAATTGTACACAGTCTTTTAAGAAGACAGGGAAATCCAAGAAAAGAAAATCAACATATAAAAAAGTAACAAGCGTGCTAGCACTGAATTTCTAGGCACTGCAGATTTTTAACTCGAGAAATTGCAAAGGAAAGTCAAGAATGCTCGCTTCGTGTCATGTCATTGGCCCTTGAATGCAATCGCGAGACTTGCAGCACACCCGCATGCGCGTCTAAGGAAATATGCAAAGCTGCGGATGATTGCAGGGATACTATGAGCATTGCTAGCGAATAGCATTGGCCTGTGACCCGTTTACTGGGCTGCGTGTCAATCAGACCATCTAATGAGCAGGGCGTCGAAGTCGATATCGACACTGCTAGACCAACCTTATTGCTAGAGAAGGCTCTGCGGGTCGCCCAGTAGCTCGTTTTATGTTGTTTCTCCAAGATCTTTCAGGCTGCATATTGTTAAGTGAAGCTGTCAGATCAGGCACACAACCAAGTCTGGGTGTTATTTACAGTCGCACACTTTCCGTGGACTCACTTCTCGTTCCAAGATCTCTTGGGCGGCTTATTGTCGATTGGAGTTCTTAAGTCTCTCAGACTGGGCACGCAAGCAGCTCTGCGCATGGAGTCCAGTCGTTCACATCCGTGGACTTGCTCCCCTTTCAATATTTTGTGTCCGCGGGATGTTGTTGACATAGAGCGTTAGACTAGTCTCTTCGAAGACGATTCTGATTATTGCAAAAAGCGCTGAACTTCGACATGTCGTTCTGGCCTTGCATATATGATGTCGCTCCCGCTCTCCTCCGTTATTCACGAAAGTCAACGCGTTCTTAGACCGGATATACAAGTTAACTCTGCACATCGGTTCAAGTTGTCCACTTTCCGCGGACTTGGTCCTCGTTCCAAGAACCTGGGACAGGTTATGATCGACACAGAGCTTTCAGATCAGAGGATGAGCTGGCCCCGGAGCGTCTCCGATTATTGCAATTGTCGCTGAACTTCGACAAGTCGTTCTAGCCTTGCATGTCTGATGATTTCGCTTCATCTCTCGCACGCTATTGACGAAAGTCGTAGTGTTAGCTCCTCTTTCCAAGATCCTGCGAGCGGGCTATCGTCGGGTAGAATTCTCAGACGAGACGAGACGTGCAAGCAAGACACTTTTGATTATTGCAAGCCCTGAACTTCGACAAGTCGTTCTAGTCAGGCACATATGATGATGTCGTTTCATTCTCCTTCGTTTTTTTTCGACGACAGTTAACCAGCGCGTGAGCGTTCTGGGGATGGCTTTCCTTTTTAAGATCCAAGGGCTATGCTATTTCCAGGCGCGGACGCACAAGCAGTGCCCTAAACGTCTATGGTCACTTCGGAAGCGTTCAAGTTCGACGTGTCGTCGTTGCCTTGTATACATAATAGTGTAGCCTCTTCTCTCCTTCGCCATTCACGAAAGTCAACCAGCGAGCGAGCGTTATGGCGATAATTCCTCATTCCGAGATCCTGAGGGCAAGCTATTATCAAATACAACTCTCAGATCAGGCGCAAGAGGGCGCCCAAGACATCCTTGGCTACTGATGAAAGCGTTCAAGTTCGACGCATCATCGTTGCGTTGCATTGTATACACAATAATGTGGCTTTACCTCACCACCCACGAAACTCTACCAGCGTTGAGACGATAGTGCTTCAGAGTCAGAAAGGTGTTTGGAGGACGAATATTGTTCGTTCTTGTCTGTCTTACCGCTCCAAATCTGCACAAAGACCACAAAAGCAGAAGCGTCGAAAGTCAAGTTTGTTTGCTCTGCATGAAACATCTTGCTGAGTCGCAATCGCGTCGACTAGTTGCTGCAAATGCAAACACAGTAGATTTGCTTGCATGTGCTGCGACTTACTGTGTTTTTGGCTATTAAATAGTGCTGACTTTGAACAGGCTAAGGCCCAGTAGACCATGGAATCTTGTGATCAGACAAATCCAAATGTGGAAAGAGTGTGACAGTTGCTGTTTGCATGTTGACCTTGCTGCGTTAATCGTTATCTGCATGGAGTCGAAGTAGTTGCTTCCTCTTTCAGTATCTGGCAAATTTCTCTGCAGTTGGCCCGCTTCTCCATTGTCGCTTGTCTCCTTTCACTGCATTGCTTTCTGTGTCTTGTACCTCTACATCCCATGGTTTCGTCCAAAAAACCAGCGATGCTCCAGTGATATGTTTGGCATATGTCCGGGTAGCTCTCAGCCATCGAACCATTACATACCACTGAGATGTCAAGGACTGGACAATCCCATTGTTCCACAGGGTACCAGAAATGTTTTGGGAGTGGGTTCGATGAGAGATATTTTTTCTGTATTATTTGCGTTATGCTTGCGTAATGCTTGGTATGCTGATTGTAATTTCCTTGCCTGGTTGAGACAGTGACCTGTTGCTCAGCATCCGAACCACTAATGTTCGCCGGGCACCGGACGTCGTGGTTGAGTCAATGTACGGTCTTGTGGGATATTTTGTTGTCTTTCATGTTGTTCGTGTCATGCTCGTTTAGCTTTGCTGGTTGAACTTTTTCTTGGGCCTGATTTGCCTGCTCCGAATTCCATGAACGCTGGCACTCTTGAATTGTAATAGCATGTGCCTTCCATCGTTGTCCTCTGTAGATGTTTGTAAGAGATGCTGCCATTCCTCCTTTGTTATGTGGTCGTACTTAAACCGTCTTCGTCATATCGCTGTGGTGGTGCTTGAAGGATTCTTGTTTTTACAGCTGCATCTGCCATTTCGTCCTTGGTTTGACTATTCACAAGTTAGCAAGATCCAACATTAGGATACGTATAATATTGTACCTCAATATTGCGCGGAGTTCTTACTTCTGGAGATCTGCAGGAGACGTACTGTTGTCATCATTATGTTGTCATGGTCGTACTTCTAATTACAATTTAGTCTTTATGTGGCAACTGATTTCTCATATGTCAGTAAGACGATTACTCAACAATAGCGTACGTATAACATTGCACCTGGGTCTTGCTGTGCATACCTTATGTTGGAATCCGTGTGAAATACGATGCTGTGGCTATATATTGTTGTGGTTGTGCTTTAAAAGTTCTTGGTTTCACAACCACAACTGCCATTTCGATTTCAATTGCTTAGGCATAAGTCAGTGACTTGTACATCCAATAATAGAGTATACGCATAGCATCCCACTTTAACCTTGCTATGCATACCTCCAGGGTGTGTCAGATGTGCTGCTGTTATTGTCGTGCTGTCGTAGTCGTGCTTCAAGAGTTCTCGGTTTCACAACATCTATCTTTCGTCTTTGATTTCAATTGCCTACATACGTCAGTAAATTTTGCATCCAATAATAGCATACGTATAGCATCGTATTTTAAATCGTACTATACATACCTGCAATGTGAGAGAGATGTGCTGCTGTCTTTGTTATAGTATACTGTCGTGGATGTGCTTCAGAAATTTTGGTCTCACAGCCGCATCTCGCATCACCGTCGTCATCGGTAGCCTCGGCCGAGTTTCCCAGGGTAGTCGCGACCCTGTGAAGACCCTGAAAGCGCTAACGACCACTAGCGTGCCTGCCACCAAAAATAGTGCCTTAACTTGGCTTCGTTAATGACAAGTTTATTCCCTGGAAGAGTTAAGCTGCGCGGCAGACAACAACCACCACCCTCCAGTTTCACGTCTTGCAAGGCCCCCCTTTACTTCTCACACAGTCTTCCCCGTTGACCTGCATCTCTTCTCTGGTGGCGCAAACTATGTTTTGCTGACTATCCCATCCATGGCTTTGGATCTGGCATGCGCTGAGATCCCTTAAAAGAGGCGTCCCGACCGACGTCATCATGGACCAGGATGCAGAAAACAGCAGCAGCAGCAGACGACCACCACTCGCAGATCGAGATCGAGAGGCCACCGACAATGAGAACAACAGACGTACAAGTCACCGGTTACGATCTACATCTACATCTACACCTTCTGCCATTCCGGTCGCAGATTTGAACTCGAGCCGATCCGACCTTCCTAGTGCCGCTTCCGTCTCGGTTTCAAACGCGAGCCGCAACGTACCTCTCATCCATCGAGATGACTGGGCCAGCGACCTCCCTGATACCGAACATATACGCTTCTTCAAGGAAACAGATTGGGCTGCGACTCGATTGGGAGCTTTGTCAACATGGGGAATTGCATTGCGACTGCACACCATGACGGTAATGGCCGACTCACAGGCTGGCTGCGTTTATTGGTAGGTTGCATTCGCCTTTATTCGTTGACCATATTCTAACAGAGAAAGGGGTCCCGAGCACGTTGCAATCTACAATGAAGCTTTTATGCCACTAGCAGGAAAGACTCACCCCAAATTGATGGGCAGTAGCTTTCAAGAAGGCTTTCCGGAGTTATGGAGTGCAATGAAATCAGTGTTCGAGGGAGCAAAACAAACTCGAGCCGCTGTAGACGTGGTGGAGATGGAGATGTTTGTCGAACGGAATAGCTTCACTGAGGAGACATATTTTTCTGGCAACTTTGTCCCGATCAGAGGTGACGATGGAATGATCGAGGGTGAGTCGAAGAGAATTTGCTCTCACCTGGACCTGGACATCTATGTTCAACCACTCTTGAGCTTTGACTTGAAGTTTGTTTACTAACTGTCTGTGTTTAGGCTTTCATAACGCTGTGTTCGAGATTACCAGGAACAAGATCGATAAGCGACGACGAACAATGTTGAACTCGATGCAAGTACCCGACGGACGCAGTACCCGCCGATTAGCCAGTTTCGTGATGCCGGCACTAGAATCTAACCCAAAGGATTTCAGCATGGCTATGCTCTACACAGCCGACGAAGATACGGTTCCAGACTCAATCGTCCTACGGCTTCGAGGAAGTATTGGAGTTCCGACCCACCACCCACTTTCGAAGGAATACTTAAGTCTTGAAAGTGATGAGGGCATTGTGCCTCTCTTACGACAAGCCCGATGGAGAATGGCCACTGTCCCAGTTGATGAGAGACTGGATGGTATTGAATGGCAAGGCTTCGGAGAGGCGCCGAAGTCTATAAGCATTCTTCCTATCCAAGATACCAAGAGACTATTTGGTTTCCTTGTGGTTGGTACGAATCCGCGAAGACCTATCGATGATGATCACTTCCAATTCATGCGAGATGTATCATCTATCACTTACCAGATTACTGCTGCAATCCTTAGCGCCGAAGAGACTCTCACGAGAGAAGCACGACTTCTGAAGGAGATTGAAGAGAGTACCAGGCTCCGTCGGTATATGGCTGAGAATGCGTCTGTGGGGATGCAATATATCTCACCTGATGGTCGAACTCTCTGGGCAAACGACGAGTACTATCGACTGACCGACCATCCACGCGATCGTGAAACTCAATACAAGTTATCCTTCATTGATGTGTTCATTGAGGAGGACAAACCTCGAGCACGGGACGTATGGCGCCGGTTACTTAGTGGCGAGACGAAGGTCACAGCAGATTTACGTGCAACAAAGATATTCACGCCGCCATACGGTGAACCTGAACCAGTCACTATATTGGCCCATTCATTCCGTGTCGAAGAGAATGGCGAGTTGAAGTCCATAATGGCATTCACTACTGATATCAGCGCATTCAAGTGGGCACAAGCTTCAGAGGCGAGAAAAGCGGCCCAAGCTGAGGAAGCGAAGAGGCAACAAGAGGAATTTATCGACTTTGTGTCTCACGAGCTTCGAAACCCTCTCTCTGCGATTTTCCAATTAGCCGAGACCATTATCACCTCGTTCCCAGCTGGAGAACGTGCTTCTATGTCGAAGGACGATCTAATAGCTGCGCTTCAAGGAAACATCGACAATGCCAATACCATCCTGATGTGCGCCAAGCATCAAAAACGCATTGTTGATGATGTCCTTACGCTGTCCAAGCTCGAGTACACAATGCTCTCAGTTTCTCCTCGACCTGTTCAGCTACCAAATTTGGTCTGCAAATGGATGAAGATGTTTGACTCCCAACTTCTCTCCAACAATATCAAAGCCTCCATTATCCCTAACTCGTCTATGCTCGAGCATAAAGTTAATTGGGTTCTTTGCGACGAGTCTCGAGTTCAGCAAATTTTCATCAACTTGATGACAAACGCCATCAAGTTCACCAAGTCGGAGACTCGAAGAGAGATAACTGTGGAGTTTGGTGCAGTCCCATCCGATCCTAGGAGTGCCTTCTCGGACAAGATATGTTGGGCTCAGACTCATCGCGATATGGAAGATCTCACCCGAAGTGCTGAGTGGGGGCTTGGTCAACCAATCTACTTCACACTGTCCGTTACAGATACCGGTATTGGCATGTCAGATGATGAAATCGAGAGGCTCTTTGGTCGATTTGAACAAGCCAATGCTAGAACCACCATCAAATATGGGGGCTCCGGACTAGGTCTGTTCTTGTCCCAGAGATTAACAGAGAAGCAAACAGGAGAGATTGGTGTGGCTTCTGAACCCGGCCACGGATCTACCTTCGCTTTTTATGTCAAATCTCGTCGTACAGAAGAGCCACTCGCAATTACAGCTTCCTCTCCTGGACGAGTTGCATTGCCGGTCCGCGCCTTAACTTCGGCTACTCTTCCTGTTCCTTCCACCACCTTCGAATCTCCGAAAGTCAACCTCGACAATATACACGTTCTCCTTGTCGAAGATAACGACGTTAATCAAAAGGTCGTATCAAGACAATTACAGAAGGCAGGCTGTGTAGTGTACATCGCCAACCACGGTGTCGAGGCACTCTCCATTCTCCGAGAAAGCGATCTCTGGTTTGAGCCTTCCCAATCCTCGACATCGACATCGACTTTCACGCCCAAGCACATCGACATCATCCTGATGGACTGGGAGATGCCAGTAATGGACGGCCTCACGTGTTCGAGAGAAATTCGAACATTACAAGCACAGAAGAAGATCGTCCGACACGTCGACATTATCGCCACGACGGCGAACGCGCGGGACGAGCAGATTTCGGTTGCGTTGGAGAGCGGGGTGGATGAGGTGGTTAGCAAGCCGTTCATGGTGGCGGACTTGCTGGTGAGGATCCGAGAGCGGTTGAGCATGCCGCTGCGGATGGCGGTGGAGAGGGCGGTCACGGCTCCAGTTCCGTAGATTGGGGGGCCGTTAGATGACGATAACGATGATGATGATGATCGATGATACCCATGTTCTGTAGATAATAGGATATTCCTCGGCGAGAGAGCCGAGATGAGATGAATGCATCAGAGACTTTGAAAATATGACTGTGCTTTGAATGTGTGTGACTTGGCTGGACATTGAAAATATAAAAAAAATTTAAATTGGAAACGGATTCATGGAAAAATTGGAGATCTCAAGTCACTGGGGACATTTAAACTATGAGATCTATAACTTTTGAAAGTCTTAAGGAATCTAGGATATTTAAACTATAAAATCTACGATTTCGAAAATAGTTACTACTAAAATTCTGAAAGTCCCAAGGAATTCTAAGACATTTACATGATAAAATAGAATCAAAGACTTATTATATGAGTATTTAGAATTGTCCTTCCTTCTGTGAAGATATTACATAGCTTTATGTGAATCTAGTAAATAAGTAATTTTTGAAACTTTAAAAAGTATTTTATAAAAATTTCGAGTTTAATGTCTTTTCTTAGATCAGGACTTTGAAGGCTATTATGTACAATTCTTTTATTTAATGTTCATGAACAAAATAGTAAGAACTTACACTTTAAACTTATTATTATCATTTAATAACTCCGATTGTCCTTTCTTTTGGTAGAACTTCTGGGATGAAGATATACTCTAAATTTCAACAGTGCAGCGGCTGACTAAGCGCAGTCTATTTGGTGCAGGCTTCACTCAACCTTCCTCATCAAGCCACGTTCGCACCTCATTTCCGACAACAATCACCATCATCATCACCATGACTGATACCTAATAATATCATCCGAGTGCACACAGCATCAGCCAGAGACAGTCTCTCTCAAACTCCCTCTCCTCACCAACGTTATCTCCCACACGTGTGCGCTTCGGATGTCCGACCGAGTTCCTGAATCTGGACGACCCTGCAGTTGCATTGCATATTTTGTTGGTCAACTCAACGCACCGTTGGGTTCGCGTTTGTGTTCTGTCATGATGGTGTGGTGACAGCGGCACGATGACAGGCCGGAAGAAACGTAAAATCTGCACAGAAGGAAAAGCGCGCGCATGTCCGCTGCAGCTGCAGGACGAGTACAGTGCAGTAGTCGAGGTGAACCTTGTCCTGTCGCGATGCTTGTTTGCGTCACGTCCTCCTTTTCTGCTCCTCTCCTCTTTTCTCCACATCCGCCTCCTCGAGTTCATCCCATCTTTTCACTCGGCTTCTTCCCACTTGAATTTATCAACGTTATCGAGGAGAGTTAAAGAAGGAAGGCGATCAAACTCTATCGGAAATGACATCAAGTGCCCAGCGTCCAGCCTTACCATCTGCCAATTTCCCTCATGTAATATTGTTTTTCTCTCTCCCGCGAATCACAAGAAATCCAAACATCGGGTAAGCATACAAACTGGGTCCTCGATCCCCACCAATATCCCTGAAGCGAGCACGACGGTGGCATTTTTTCTTCCTCGATCCGAAATTGCTTTCGATAACGTCTGCCACCAAGACCACAAGCTTCCCAGCCTAACGCCCCAAAACGCTAATTTCCTTTTCCCCCTCACCCTTCACCCCCCCAAATCATGTAATGTCGCTCACTTCCCTCGGATCCGCACATCTAATCCTAATTCTAATCCTGCCCCGGCGAACCGTGTGAACCAAATCAAAGCATGTCTCTCCTCTAAACGAAACTCTTTCGTTTCCCACTTTTTCACCTCTTCTGTTTCTGCTCTGCTCTCCTCTGCTGGCTCCCGCTCTTGCCGTGCTCTGATCTTGTCACTTGAATGTTGAGCTCTTGAGCTCGCGGACTGTCGAGATGCTGTTCTCACGTCTGCCACTGTCGCTCCTTACTTTGATTTTTGCCTTTGCTTTTAATGCCAATGCCGACGATACGAATAATAAGAAAGATGGGGACGATACTTCCGGGGTAGAATATGTGGATATCTTTGCGGTGGATTACCCTATTGTTGCTTATGTTGTTGACTCTGTACGTCAACTCTCTCTATTTCTCCTGGAGACTATCATAGAAACAAAAGCTGATACTATGATGAAAGGGACGCCATGATACGGCAGCAACAACATACCACATAGCCTGTTCCTCCGACGCAGACTCGGCCTCCTGTCCCTTCGCCCAGCCCTACACCTTAATCCAAGGCCCCTCGACCCTCTCCTTCGAATTCACCGCCCCAACCGCCACCTTCACTCAATCCTTCACCCTCGGCTGCAACCTCGACTCTACTACCTCTATGGCCTGCAGCGCAACTGGCCTCGCAGAAGCCGATTCGCCCGTCACTACCAGCCAGACATTCTCCTTCACCGGCGCCGCGGCTCAGGCCTTCTTCAAGGAAGTTCAGGTTGTCGCCAAGACGGAGGATCTGTTGACGTACACGCCTGGGGCTTCGAGTTCGAGTGCCAAAGCGACGATCACGGGGAGTAGTGAGGGAGGGGTTTTCTTTGAGGGGAAGCAGGAAGCGGCTACCACGAGTGCGACGGTGGTGGGAGGCATTGTGGTTGCAGAGGCGGCTAGTGCGAGTGCGACGACGACGAAGAGTTCGGGTGGTATACAGGTTAGGGGACTAGGTGGGGTTGTTTATGCGGGGTTGGTGGTTCTGGGGGTGCTTGGATTGGGGTTACTTTGAGATTCAATGGAATTCTTTTTCACGAGAAATTGGTTGGGGTGATGATGGCTTTTGCTATTGTTAGATGTGAGATTAATGTTCGGTCGGATCAAGTGATTCGAAGGGGTTGCTTCGTGATGTGTTGCCTCCTTTAAACTCGGTTAAGGCCCGTTCATTTCTCTCGCTATAGTGCGCTCAGTATCCTCCTCCCTGCTTTATAAGCCCATCCTACTCTCTCGGAGCAAGTGCTCTGACTCCCAAAGTCCCACATCTCGTCGCCCTTTTCGCTCCTCGCTTCCTCACTTCAATTACTCTGATATTAGCTATCAAATATTTCCATCAATCTTCTTGGACCTATATCCTACACAACTCGTTGATATTTCATGATTCTCATCCTAGGATGTTTCGCTACTATCCCAACTCGAAGTGTTCTGCAGTATTTCAACAATTGGATTGCGATACTCACCTGAGTACCTAGGTAGTCCTCGATGTGAAGCACGTGACTGTACCACTCACGCTACCTAGGTAGGTTGGTAGAACCTTTCAATAGCTGCTTCACCTCCATAGGCAGTGGTTTTTTGACAATTAAAGAAGTAGTATTCAGAAATTATTCGAACACCTGTACGGCTGATTTGGAAGTTTTCCGATATTTGCGAAATTTGCGCTGTCTGCGCTGTCTGCGCTATCTGCGCGAACAGCGTAATACGCGCAGATTCAGGTCAACGGGACCTCTGTTGATGGACTCGGGTTTAGTAATCAAACTCCTGCGCAGAGAAATTCAGATGATATTTCCTATTGTACAAGTCTAGATTACCGGATTTTGCTATCATTGGACGAGCTTAAATATGATTTGCTTGGCTCTCCGCTGTCTATTCGTCGGGTTCGAGTTTGTGGCTTGAGGGCTGAGTGGGAGTTTCCCGGATCGTCATGAAAGATCTTGCTCCTTCAAGAACGGATTGATTGATAAGATTGATTGAATCGAGATTATTTCGTTGTGCTGGATCTTTGCTATCGCACTCGTTGAGAAGCAAGCTATATGCTTACCAAGATCAATCCCATGAAGTTTTTCTCCCGAAGTGTATATGTGACATTCCGCACACATATCACTTAGCAAGTTCAACGAACTAAACACTATCTACAACCTCCACGACAAGGTCTTAACATTCCATCTCTCTGAAAGTCCAGACCTCAATCCTCAAGCAATCATCTTCCTTCCCTTTCAAAGGAGTCTTGAATCAATAACAACACAGACAAAGCTAGACCCAATCATGGAAAAAGTATATCTTGGCATCTTGGCAAAGGCTGAATCCAAGCTGTCGGATTCGACCTATGCACATCTACGGAGATATCACTTCCTCCCAGGGCTGAAGCTGAACGGGATCTTCCATTGCACTTTCCCATGCTGGGAGTTGATCGAGGAGGGAGTGGTGGTATATGTATCTCTCTTTCACACTTAAGATCTGATAACCATCCATCCCTCTTCCTCTCTTTCTCCCACCCATCTCAAAATCCTCATCCAAAATGCACCTCTCCCTACCCCTCATCCTCGTCCTCACCACCCTCTTCGCCCACCAAACAACAGCATCTTACCTCGTCACCTCCCCAAACGCACCCCTCTCCAAACGCGACGACTCCGCAGTCCAAGGCTGGGCCCTCGTAGAAGATGAATGCCCCTCCGGCACCGGCACCTGCGGCGCCCGCTCCTGCTGCCCCCTCGACTCCTGGTGCGACACCTCCGAGACGGAATACTCTAATATCTGCTGCCCTACGCGTACCTCTTCCTTTCCCTTTTCCCCCTTCCATCTCTTCCCAAACAAAACACAATACTAAAAAGACTTCAACAGGCGAAGGATGCGGCTACAACGTAACCCACCTCTCCTCGCGTTGCGCGGTGGATACCTGGGTCCTCTTCACCACGAACAAAGACCCGATATGCTGCCTACCAGGCGAGGTCGGTACTGACGCTGCCGCGAGCGAGAATTACGGACATTGTGTGCCGGCTGGTGTTGCGTTGCCGGCCAGTGTTGGGAGTGCGACCTTGGTTTGTTGTCCTGTTCTTTTAGAAGGTGTAGGATGAGGCTGATGAGTGGGATTACTGTAGATCGGGTCCGGGGGAACGACGATACCTCCTGCGCTGCCGGTTGGGTTGTCGACTACGGCTGGGGCGACGACAAGTTCGATGAGGGCTGAGAGTTCGTTAACGAGTACGAACGGTGTTGAAAGTTCGGCTAGTAGGACCGGTTCAGGTGTGAGTACCGGTAGTGTGCAGGCGACATCTGCTTCGACGGGCGCAACTGCTACTGTGACTGTGAAGTCTGGCGCTGAGAAGTTGGTATTTGCTCCTCTGCTTTTAGGGACTTTCTTTGGTGTTTTGATGGTGTTTTGATGGTGTTGTGAAGCTGGAGTTTGTATTAGGTTCAGGTGCCACAAGATCAGAGATGCAAGATGGAGTAACAGTTATAGGGTAATCATTAAAGTCTTCATGTACATGTACAAAAACTCCATACACACCTACGCTATGCTCAAACATGCGACTCCAAATTTCTCTCATCTCATCAATCAATAGGCTGCTGTTTGAAAAGACTCTTGCCCAACAGCCATTTCCTATAAGTCTTGAACCTCTTCTTCGTGAAATCCTCTTCGACGACTGTCAACGGATTCTCCGCTACTCTCAAAAACTCCCTGTATTCATCCAATTCCTCCATTCCAGGTCCCATTCCCTTTCCACCATTTAATGCCTCCTCACTCACGATCCCGATGTCACGCCATGAGCCGTTCACGTAGTCGAGATACTCGGCATCGATCTCGGCTGGAACTTCGGTTGAGACGACCAGAGGAAGGGTTTGAGGATGTGAGATGTAACGAGCGTAGTCGTCTGTTTCTTGGGCAGAGACCGAAGGATTGAGAGATTCGTGTACGACTTGTGTGAATGTCCACTGTGCCGCTTTACTCTTGTCCAATGGAGTCAATTTCTGCTTTGGAGGTTCTGGTTCTGGTTGCTGTGACTCTTTCATGATTCCATGATGAGTATCGTTCTTCTCGTGGATGGGTTGGAGCCAACGTTGGATGCTAATTCGCTTTGTGTTGACTGTCACGCCAGATTTGATGGAGAGGCCATCATCGTCTGCGCCTTCTTCCGAGGGGTCAACAATTGTCACTTCTTTCTTGGGTTTCTTCCGATCAGGAACTTCCTGGTCGAGTTCTGTGCGGACCTTGAATGGCGAGAGGTCGTAGCGACCTTCTTGGGTGGAGCGGAATGGGATGTAACGAAGCGTCGAATTCATCTTCCCCATGTATGAGAAGATCTTCATGGTTGAAGACAGGGCAAGGGGTTTATAATACTCAAGCCAGTAGTCATCGAAATAACCCAGCGGCTTACCCGCTGTAGGGCCACATGGGTCGACATGTTTTCCTAGTACACGCTTCTCGAGGAATTCTGGTGTGTACCATTTGATGTAGCTCCGTCGACCTTTACCTGACCAAGATCTAGGATCAGCGTGATGGAGATAGTAATCGGTAGCAAGGTCCCAGAGCATAGGTTGACCTTGGGCAAAGATATAGTTGCCCAAAAAGAGATTGTATGCTTCCTGACGCTGACCATCAAGGAATGAGTTGTTGTAATAGCGTTTGAAGCTCTCCACCATGTCTCGAGAGTGACTTGTCCACTGATTAATCTTGCGATAAGTCTCCATCGTATTAACCAATTGCGAGCCACCATATTGTACTGCGATAGTGTCTCCATGGTCGTGATACATATGAGTGAACAGATTGACAGCGTCTGTGTCATAATCGATTGAAGTATCAGCAATAATACCTAGAGCATGTAATTGATGGCCGAGAGCTCTCTTGCCGATGACGAATTGTGCAGCATTGGTTCGGTCGAGACAATCGATGCAATTCGTTCTGGCAACCCCATTTTGAACTCTCGGCATCGAGGTTCTGCCATCACCGTTATGGAAGAAGCTCGTAGTGGTCACCACTTCTTCGGCAATGTTCTCCAACGTCCCAATCACATCTTGATCTCGGCTCTTCGAAGCCCGGCTCATATCCCAAGCTTTGTGTATGATCTTCTTATCAGCTGGAAGGAACTGATTGAGATAATTTATAGCATTCGTGTATTCATGCAAGAGCTTTGACTCTCTTGGTGTTCGCTCCTTGGCTTTCACCAGATTCAGAACATAAACTGGAGTGCCATATCGTTCAAAGAGGTTATCAAAATGTAATGCAGCCGCACCATAGAAAGGATCGACTAGATTCAACTCAATCGGCGGCTTGGGAGTGACTCCAGTATTGTCTTGAGTCCAGTATAACGGGATGCTGCCTCGATGCTGCACATACGAGGTGAAGTTTGGATTCGCAAAAAGCTTTGGTCCAGGAGCATGAAAGGAAGTTGTCAGTACTTCTGAGACAATCTGTTCCGTTTCAACATCGTTGGCGACGTATCCCTAGGAACGTCAGCACTGAGACAAGTCAAAGACAGGTCTACTCACCAGATCATTTGCACCACGCTTCAAGAAGCGAGCACCGGCAAAGTATCTAGATCGCCGTGCAATGATCGTGATATACACAGAACGACCATATATCGAGAGTGCTACTCCTAGTTAGAAGATTAAGTGCTAAGTGGTGCCTCATTTGACATACCAGACTGGTCAATGTATCCATGTATCACAGGAAGGCACCAATCGTAGGTATTCTTCAATGCAGCAATGGCAGGTTGCAAGAGATAGCTGTTCCACACAAACATAGAATTGTAATCATGAGCATGGGGGTATGGTGTGCCTTTTGCTACCGCAGCTCGCTCTCTTATTATATTGTGTTGCAATGTTCGTGTAATATCATAGGAATAGCTGAAATAGAACGACCTAGTCAGATCCAGGTTGCTGAGAATGCTCAAAAACCGGGCTTCTTCTGAATTCTTGGCATCTGGCTTGAATCTAGAAGCGGCGCCTGTAGTCAAGGGAACGAGCTCAGTGTGATCAACAGAATAGGTGAAATGACCTCCTATCATAGCCACTTGACTTCTCTTGGTGATAAGAAGCATGTAATAGCATCCGGTAAAACGAATGAACCCAAGCAAGCCCCAGGTACTGCATCGCAACTTCATCCCTCCTGTACTCTTATTCCCATCATCGATCGCATTGAGCAATTGACTCATTTCTTTCTTGGTATACACAATTTCGTCCTCAGCTATGCTCAGACTTCCGGCATCTGCCGTTCTGTCAATCTTCAAGATTCGAAACCGTCTGTCCATGACATCTGCTCCAACAACATAGTATCGTGTCGCCGTCTCGTATAAGGAGTATTTGTGCATCTGGCAGACGCCCCGATCTCCGACTTTCTCATATTCGGCGCCCTTGTTCCGCTTCATGTCTGAATTCGGACTCGTTGTTCGCTGAAATGGCTTGGCTGTACATTCTTCGTCATCCCCAAAATCGGTACCAGAATTCGGCCTCTTCTCGTTTGTGCTCTGCACGGGGCTGTGGTGGAGAGGCGGAAACTTTGGAAGCTCTGCCGGCTCAACATCTCGAAAGTCCAAACTTAAAGGGGACGTCATTGCAGATGTCGACCTGGACGCCGTTTCCGTGGACACGCTGGCAGTCTCAAAGTGTACATGGTTGCTCGTAGTTTCCGCCGGGCCTGGGGACCGTCCTCGTCGCGGGGCCGCATCTTCTAGGTCTGCCATGATGGCAGAAGAGTCCAGACTATCGTGAGTTCATATTCGGAACACGGCAATACGCTTTGCGTAAGGCTCATATGCTAGCACGTCGTGAAGCAAAACTTTGTTTTGCGGGATTCGATTCTCGTATCGGTGCGTAGTAAACTTTCTTAGATCATGGTGGAGGTGTGAGTATGGAGAAAGCTCGAGCCTCAAAGGTTCAAAAGTGATGTCAGTCGGGCGGTTGGATAAGGCATCAAATAAAAACCTGGAATGGAAGGCATCAATCTTTTACGCGACCGCGACCTTGACCTTCACGTGTGATTCCAGACTTGACCCCAAATTGCCCCACGCTGAAGCGGAAGCAGCCTTCAATCCTTCATGTGAAAATCAATGCATCAATCACACACATTTTTGCCTTCCCGCCGAGGATCACCACCCCTTCTTTTCCTCTCTTCTCTTCTCCTAATCATATTATATCTTCTTCATGTCAATCATCCCGCCCTTCCATTCAGTTCTAATGCATTTCATGTATCGCCATGTCTGATGACACCGTCTTCGACCAGAAAGATGTTATAATCCAAAGTCAGTCCATCGGCCCCTGACATGTGATCGCCCCCAACTGACAACACCACAGACGTTCTCGATGAAGAAGATGTAAGAAATCAACGAGTGCCTCACATTGCGACCGCTAACTGATGCTGGAATAGTTGTACAAAATCCTAGGAGCGCAACGATCTGCTTCTGCAGCGGAATTGCGACGATGTTACCTCGAGCGGTCCAAAATATGTCATCCTGACAAACCTCCTTTTCATCCGTTGTCCACTAGGTCAGCTTCCCCGGCTCGCAGATAAAATCATCACAATACTCATCGCGATATAGCGCCTTTCAGCGACTCGGATTTGCATTCGATATCCTGAAATCACCGAGCGCAAGACGGACATACGATCGAGCTTCGAAGCCTACATCCTCCCAATTACCAGATAAAACAACCTTCCTCGGCGGCGAACACACATTCCGCAGTGCTGTCGAGGCTATACTTCATGAATTTATGACTGGAGATTTCGTTATCGTTCGCAGATGGCTGGAATCGCTCCATGCGCAATATCCGAATCTCGTCAGTGAAGAAGTTGTCATCAACGTCGAGAGGAGTTTTATACGTATACGCGAACTAGTTTTGACGACGAGAACATATGCGCTTTTGATATATATTGAGTTGGGTAGAATACACAGGGTTCAAAAGCGATTGATGGGTCTTGGCTACTTGGATGTGGTTGGAAGAGCAAGACTTACGATTCATTTAGTGAGAGTCACATTGGCAGTGCCAATGCGTGTTGATCGAGCTTTAAAACAAAGAGAAGAAAAAGCCTGGAGAGCAAAAGTTGCTGGCTTACAAGCAAGAGGTCTTCAGCCAACTGAAACGATGGGACGGGCCGGAATCCTTAACGACCGAGTCAGCAAAGTCTTGGAATTCATCGTCGGCGCCGCCGGAAAAGATGAAGGTGCTGACGAAGCTTGGAGTGCGAATATGGGAAAAGCCGCTTGAATGCTTGCTACGATTAGGTATATTTTTAGCGGCATTGGGTAAAGGTGCTTTGGCGTTCAACTTCTGACTATTCAAGCGCTCGCGGTTGTTTGGGATGGGACTCGTCTTTCATTTTCACAAGAGTTCTTTTCCATGATACCCAAGTGCTTTTTGCGGGTTGGAGTTAAAAGGACCGAAGATGTTAAATTATATGTTATGTCTTATGAATATATGCCGCTCAGTGTCTGTTACCTTTCTTATCCGGATTTTTTTTGGCTCTTCTTGCATTTTGCTCTTTCGGGAACGCCCCAATTGAGCCCCCAGCTTACAAGACTCGGCTCCTCATTCCTCACCAGCAAGCAGTGCTTCGGAGTCTCCACATTCTTGTCGCACCATGATATTGAAAACCGTCTTGCTGTAGATAATTGGTATATGCTTCGGGAAGTGGCTCTAAGCAATCGACGCCGACCTTGAAAGACAAGCTTTCCGAGTCGGCGATTACCCTATACCCGAGCCACGCGTACCACGTGCCTATGAGACATCTTTGAACTGCAGAGTACAACATCGACATACTTCCAGTAATATGCTTTTCCTTAGGTCCCCGAAATCTGGGGTAGGTGCCCGATAGGTTTCTGATTGTGGCTTTGCCATGGTAGACTGCAGGTGTCTTATAAAGACGATCGGGTGGCGTTCCATCTGGCGAGCTAGAGATAAAACAAGCTGTTTTCTCTCCAATTCTACTATTCTTATCTTATGCAATTCAGTATTATCAAGCGTAATTTCCAGGCCCTCATATTATATTTGCCAATCAAGCTGCCCGCGGTACCATTCAAATTCAAGATGACCACCTCAATTCAGCCCAACATCCACACCATATTCGAGCCTACGACGTGCACTTGGCAATACATAATTGCCTGTCCTACCACTTCCCATGCTGCTATCATCGACTCTGTCCTCGATTTCAATCCTAGCAGCAACACTATCTCCACTACAACCGCCGATTCTCTCCTATCCCTCGTCGAGGAGCACAAATATACCATCTCCCACGTACTCGAAACTCACGCTCATGCAGACCATCTAACTGCATCCTACTACCTAAAGCAACGCCTCTCTCCGTCCCAGACCTCTTCTCCCAAGATCTGCATCGGCAAACGCATCTCCACTGTTCAATCAACCTTCGGTGCCAAATTCTCCGTCCCACCCCAAGAACTTGAAAACGTATTCGACCACCTCTGGGACGACAACGAGAAATTCCAAATCGGAGACTTGACTGCAGAAGTCTTGTATCTACCAGGCCACACCCCAGACCACGTCGGATACAAGATCGGCGAGAACATATTCACGGGAGACTCGATCTTCAATCCCGACATTGGGAGCGCGAGGTGCGATTTCCCCGGTGGTGACGCGAATGCTTTGTGGGGGTCTATGAATAGACTTTTTTCGTTGCCAGAGGAAGTCAAGTTGTATACCGGACACGATTATCCGCCAGCGGAGAGAGGAGAGAAGGAGCTGGCGTATACGACGGTTAGGGATCAAAGGGAGAGGAATAAACATGTCAAGGTAGGGACGAAGGAGGCTGAGTTTGTGAGTTGGAGGAAAGAGAGGGATAGTGGGCTGGGAGAGCCGAGATTGTTGAATGTGGCGTTGCAGATTAATGTTAGAGGGGGGAGGATGCCGGGGGATGGGATGTTGTTGTTGCCTGTTAAAGGAGAGGGGGATTTAGTGGGGATGATGAGAAGTGGGAAGTTGTGAGAAGTGGGAAGTTGTGAGAAGTGGGAAGTTGTGAGAAGTGGGAAGTTGTGAGAAGTGGGAAGTTGTGAGAAGTGGGAAGTTGTGAGAATTGGTGCGTGGTGGTTCCGCCGCTTTCATTTTTATCTCAACTCCTTATGTCTAATTTTGTTGCGAGTCGGGTAGAAAAAAGCAAGACTGCCACTTTCAAGAGCAATGTGTTGCTTCTGACGACTGCGAGGTCTCGAGCGTTCTCTCCTTTCTGTCGGTGTGGCGATTAGGTCCACAAGGACTTGATCAAATATAGGTGAGATGCTACGAGACTTTTTAGGGAGGACTGAGTAGAAGAGGTTTGACGATTCAACGTCTTTCATTGAGCACTTCACTGCTGAGGAGTAAAGAATCGAAGCTCGAGACTCCAATACGTCGTTCGCTGGCACATAACACACAGTCTTAAACTCTTCTCACGCATGAGGTTCCTCCGCTTATTAAACCTGTGATTGGTATACTTGGCGGTAGTCCGTAATATGACAGCATGTCTTTCGCCACAAGGCCACAGCCAAGTAGCTCATCTTTGTGCCACTCTCAGCGTCTTAAAAAGGAAGTAGAACTCGTGATTCCCAATGTTATCCGGTTCTTCTACTCTGCTCGCTTTCGCTCACAAGAAGGAGCAGAGGTGGTTCCTGCATCACTCGTGCCGCCAACAAACAGAAATGGGGGCTCGCGGTGGACAAAAAAAAACACCTGGGCTCATTAGCGAGCGATGGTGCGCCGATATCCCCTCAATTCAACTCTCGATCCAAGCAAGCACGACCAAAAGTCGTGAAAATAGAAGACTCATTTCATACAGTAGCTGTGACTCGGTTTTGTTAGTGTGCCTTTTTTATGAGTTGAAGAGTTTTGACAAGTGTATCTTGTTGTTGAAGTGAGGGGAGGCTTTTTGGGGGCTATTTAGTCAGGGGTTTCTGCTCTGCCGAGAAGTGGTTCCTGACACTCGTGCCTCCTACAACAGAAACAATGGTTCCAAATGCTTGTGCCGTTATGGAATTATCTTACCTACATGTTTCATTCATAGTAAATCTAATATTGAATCTTATTTTCACGTAAGGTTAAAGCATTTTGGGAAGGAGCGGATTGGCGGCAAGAGCTTCATTCCCTCCCTGAGCATAATCGACTATAAATACAGCGTGCTGCTATGTTCACCTATCTTTAATTTATCTTTCTATCTCTTTGGTATACACCAACCCAATACCAACAACTTTATCTTTTCCCCGTTTCACGATTTTCCACCGAAAGCCATGCGTATCACGGCACTCTTGTCTGCTATGATAGCTTCGGGGGTAATTGAATTGCAACGCCCTTTGCTGCTACAAGAGCGGCATCCCTCGAATCCAGAAACTGTCCTTTAACCTTTCCCTACCAGTGTCCTAACAACAACTGTCTCGGTCCTGGTTCTTACACGGGCGGCTGTATTTCTTGCGTCTCCAATCTTGTCTGTAACGGTGGTGTGAGTGATCTATGACCTCCTAACAACATTTAGTAGTGACAGACAGCTAACTTAGGTGTTATATGGTGTTTTAGTACGGCTGTACTACCGCTATCGGCGTTTGCACTACTCAAGGCTGTGACTGTACGGAGCAGGGCTAGATTCTAGCATCGATATCTCCGCCTGTGGCACCATGTTTATACCAAAATTGGCCATTCTTATCATATTTAGATGGTATTGACTGTGATTATGCGTTTTGAATTTGTACTCCGAGTGGTTGTGGTTGTTTGTTGGAAGATGTTGGATTCCTTGCCCTGTTGGCCTATCCACTCGTTAGCTTATTACGTCTTTGCAATAGCGCAGCTTTAGGACAAGAAAATACAATTATTGGGACACGGGTTACCTGCTCACCGTGCAATATTCTCTTCTAAATACTTATCAAGTGTGATTGTGCTGTGACTTCGCGACAGCCTTGAAATTATAGATTCTTTGAAATCATAAGTTGCTTTCCGCAGCTTAATGGAACGAGAAATCTCACGATATTGGAAAGCTCAGATACAATGCAAGCTAACCATGCCCGTCGATGTAGAAGTTGTACGCCTCAAATGAAAAATATGCTGCTCTTGTGCTCAGTATGGAATAGGGGGAAAAGGTGTGAGACGTGCGAAGTCCGAGACTTCAACATCCCGTCCTCGTGGGCACATAAAACACAACTTTGGACTAGTCTCATAGCTAGAGTCCGTGCTTGGGAAAAGTAGGATTGTTATGCTTATTAGTAGTCATAGCATAATTATATGTCTTTTCACGAGTGACACGACTACAGTCATCACAAGCGAGTGCGACCAGTGACCTTCAATTGCCGTTTGAATATCTTTCTAAGTTGCAAAAAACTACTCCTGTTCCACAGCGGAGAGCATACTCTTGGTGCCTCTATTTATTCTGAAGATGACAGACACTATAGACTCGCAAATTCATCAACCGCTCGACTCTTCCCAAGCCCAAATCCGCGTCCTTTGCTTGGAACCTCATCTAGGCGCTGAATCCGCTGCAATCGTGTGCACTCTCCAAGTCACTGATCTCGACAAACTAGATTTTTAATATGAAGCTCTTTCATACCAACGGGGTGATGCAAGCAATATGTCATTTTTCATAACCTTACAGGGCAGGAGGTTTAACGTGAGCTAGAATCCGTGATGGGCGCTTCAGCATCTGAGGCTGAAGAGCGTGGTCAGAGTATTGTGGATTGACGCCTTGTGTATCAATCAGAGTTCCGTGGAAGAGAGAAACAATCAGGTATGCATTATTGTGTTTAGTCTTTTATTCTCGTCAAGCTTACCCTGTATGTACAATTCAGATGGCAAGAGTATACAAGCAAGCTGTTTGTGTTGTTGCTTGGCTTGGGCGCCTTCAAAAGACTGTCCCCACGTACTCTGGTGCCGAGATAAGCAACGTGCAAGAAGTTGCAGACTTTGGAATTGGGCTTGCGGCATGGTATGAGAAGACGCGCAGTGAGCTCAATATTTCAGAGTCAAAGCTGTGGTCGAGAAAGCTCACGTTGTTTCAGTACACTGCGGTGTACCAAAGAAGCAAAGCTAAGATGGGAACAACTTCCGAAATCTTTTTTCTTTCTGCAAGAGATCGTACTGGACTCGACTTTGGATCATTCAGGAAGTTGCTTTGGCTACTAGGATCGTGGTTCAGTGTGACCATATTGTGATACCTGAGAGCATCTTCAAGCTGCTGACGGAGCATTTTGCTTTTCAGAGGTAATTATAGCTTTGCAAGTGAGCCAATGAATCTACCAGACACTACGTTCTTAAGGACTTTGCAGCAGTGCGAAGACTCGAGGACTTGGAGCAAAGCATCACTGTTTGAGACTATGCATATCTATGTGATAGCCTCTTTGAACATCACTTCTCTGCTCATAGGAGTGAGGATCTTCATGCTCGAAAATACCGGTACGGTCGAATGCCGGATAAGTGGTTTGAGCTTCGGGCGAAATTGACTGCTCGATTAACATAAAGAGCAATTTGCTCTAGCGTCCAAATTATGCGCCTTGATTTATACCAAAGACATCTGCCAGGGTCGAGTCAACAACTAACAGTGGTTTCAACTCCACAGTGAGATTGACTCCTGTATCCACAGCCTCGATTGCTTTCACGAGCACCCTCCCCGTCGATTTGATATCTCCCTCGACTTCTCGTAACTCAACGGTTCTGCGTTCAACGTTTCCATCTTCCTCCGATCCTTCCCTAACGATCCCCCAACAAACAACAAGCATCCTAACAACCTCCATCCCGTTCCCTCCAGCTTTGAGACCCATCCTAGGCCAAGTATTCAAGATCACGCTTTTTAAACATTTAAACCCTTCTCTCAACCCCTCTGGCCTCGTAGTAGCAAATGGGTCGGTCAAGGTCGCTGTCAGAATCTGCAAGATGTCCTTGAGATGTTTCACAGAACTGATACCCATTTTGGAGACGAGGGTAGACAGCGAGGAAAGTAAAATGGCCGTTATTTGCGGATGTTCAGAGGCGTGAAGATGTGCCGTCAAGATCCCTTTCCTTAACAACCGATCAAGGAATGCGAGTCTTTGATCTGGGGTCTTTGGTTTCGTCGAGGAAGTTTTTGAGTTAGAAGTCGTGACGCTCAAGGCCGTAGATTGAGAGATTGAGAGTGTTGGAATTGGGCATTGAACATCAACCAAGGTGAAAAGAGCTCCGAAAGCAGTTGGCAGGATCTGTACCGACTCTTCTATGGGCGTAATAGAAGGCAGGTAAAGTAATGTAGGCATAACTGCGTCTTCAAAGACTTCACCTAAGCCTGTTTGGTTTAGTAGCTTCGAAGAGAATTTGGTGAGGAATGCAGATAGAGTTTCAAGGCCTCGGACGAGGATCGGCGTTGTAGATGTGTCTAGAAGAGTTAGTAGAGGAGGCATAAACATGTTCCAATGAGCTGTTATGATTTCTTGCTGTGCGAGAGAAGTTGTTAGCACGTCATATTTCATTTAGAACAAAGATAGTGGACAGACACTCACAGAAGCATTCTCAACAGCCCATGAAAACACAGTGACAGAGTACGGGGCTTCATATTTCCAAGGCTTAGAAGCACGCTCAAGTTCTGCAACATCATGCCTTCTGGGTGGTGCAGAAGTTGGCATCGCTTTTCTGCCTGTGGAAGTGATAGCTTCGGGTTTTGATTTTGAGAAGAGCGGTCGTATGAATAATTGGATGACATGGCCGATGATAAATTCCTTGGAGTGGATTTGTTGTGTATAGGGTGATAGAAGGCCTTGTGCTAATGTTTTGGCGATGGGTGATGTCCAAGAATCACGTGAAGAGGTGAAGGCGAGTATGGCAAGCAGGATTTTCGAGTCTGGTTGCCTTGGACCCTTTGTAGAACGTAACTCAAACAATGTATTCAGTGAGGAGAGCCCGATAGCACCTTTGAAGCGGGCGAGATAGACAGCTCTTTGTTGCTGGGCCGAGGAAGAATCTGGTTGGGGCAAGCTTAGCACGAGATGAAGATGTGATCGAAGTCACTAACCATCTGGCGACTCATCGTTGAGGATAACCCGTCCGTCTGGTAGCATATATTTGGCTATCCAAGACGAAATCTCAAGAATGATTTTATCGTCGCCATCCTTTCTTTGAAGCTTTTCTTCAAAGCTTAGGCAGCTATGCAGAACAAGAACCTGTTCGAATATATCCTACACGTCATTTAGTCTTGCATGCGGAGTAAAATCTCAAGGGGATTCACTTCTTTACTCGATGCATCATCAATGATATTGATCTCGTCAAAGATCTGAGAAAATGAGTACTTCTCCGGTAAACCTGCTGCTGATCAGAAAATTTCGACTCGAAGGCTAGACGCAGCTCACATTCTCTTGGCAGCGCGAAGAGCTTATCCTCTTTCAATAGATTCGTAGAAGTACTTTGAGCTACTTTTCGCGCAGCAGCGAACATTTTGACTGCCGCGCATCCGTGTGGTGTTTGTTGCGTTTGAAAAAGGCCATAAAACGAAGTGCTGTTCAATTGAAGCGAAGCGGCCCGTTCCGCCAAAGCCCCTTTCCTGCTTGCTGCTTCGCTAAGGCTGGCTACGAGGTTAATTTAGGAAGAAAGATGGTTTACTAGATCACGGACTACGCTCTGTTAAGCCAAATGAAACTTGGCTCACCCAGTCACTAGCGAAATTTCGCAGTCTACATTTTCAGAAATACGAGAAAGAGCACTCTATGATTAATTGATTGTTTTCATTTTCGCAGCGCAACCTGAATACATTCAGGACTTGGGTATCTGTAACTCCTCACTCCTTTTCTTAACTTCCTCAATAGCTCCTGAAGGATCCCTAACACCAGGATTTCGAAGCTGCCACGCAATTACCACTTCTAATGCTGGTCTCATCCATATACCAGGTTTAACGCCACCAAGTGCCTTAGAAAGCTTTCCCCCATCAATGATACATTTCTCGGAAGCGACATCCATGATCTCCATAGCTTCAAGATGATCAACAAAGGTTTGCCACTCACTGAAAAGCTGTTCGTATGCTATAAGATGATTAGAACAGAGCACGAACGGTTCGAAAATGACATACCTTTTGGGTCATCTCTCTTCATGGCCTCAACCAAAATTGCGAACAGAGCTTGTACTCGCCAGTGTCCACCTTGTCCGTCCCATCCTCGGATCATCATTCCAACCGTGTCTCGCTCATTGACGTAAGACTCATTGCGGCCGATGTCACCTTTCAACCTGGTAATTTGCTCGTGATTCCTGAGAGACCCAGTAACAACATTGCAGATCTTGTTGTTGGCCTTAATACCTTCTCGTGCAACCATGCTTCCAAGAGGTAAAGGTAGCTTGCCTTTTTTGACCGGAACGGGATCAGGGGCAGTCGCCCACGGGGCTAAAGCAGCAAGAATCCATCCTAAATATCTGGCATCCTGGGATCTAACGAGGGAGTGGTAGATAGATTTTGGTGTCTCATTAGATTCAAGTGCCGCAAGGCAGTCATACACAACGCTCCAGGTTTCGGTGCTTGGCGCCGGACTTAGATGAATCGTTGGGTCTATGAATATTGTTGAATAAAGATCTAACTTGTCGATGAGCTGCAGAGCACTCCGTGGGTTCTTTCCTACTCTATGGTTAGACGATGTTTTATAGGGGAGACCAGAAGAATTTACCCTGTAACATCTTCTCTACCTCAACACCAACCCTTTCTCTGCTGATCTTGAGCTTGAGAGCATCTTTGACAGCCGGGTCACTCATGTATGCCTCGGATTCTGGATCGATACTGAAGGTCAAACGACTAGCAAACCTAACTAGCCTTAAAACCCGCAAAGGATCATCCATGAATGTTGTCTTGGGGTCCAGGGGGGTTCGAATTCGATGAGCAGAGAGATCTTCTAAGCCAGTTGAAAAGTCTTCGACTTGATCAGTGTGAAGATTGTAGAAAAGCGCATTGATGGTAGCGTCTCGCCTCAATGCATCTTCCTCGGCAGTTCCGAATTCCATTTGAGGATTCCGGCTGTCGGCGGAATATGTTTCTTTTCTGAGATTGACAAAATCCACATCGAAGCCCAAAATCCTCGTCGTGGCTGTCTCCAAATGTTTTGACTTTTCAGGGTTTGCTAGAATCTTGTGAAGGCCGCCCAAGTCGATGTCTTTCAGGGAGTGTTTCTTCATGTTATCTTCATTCTTGAGATAGTCCTGCATCTTGGAGCTGAAAGTAAACCCCGTCATTGAATTAATTGCCGTGTCAATATCATGACTGGGAATGTCCAAGAGCTTGTCTCGAACCCAACCACCAGCCCAACGAAGCTCAATCTTTTCCTTGATCTCTTTCGACTCGTCGATGAAGCGCGCCACGTCTAGCAAGAGATCCCGAAGTTGGCTTTCCCGTGGCGTGAGGGTGATTTTGGCTGTAGCCATTATGTCGTTGGACTTCCGTTGTTGTGCTGTCAGAAGATCGTTGAAGTCGTGCTGCGTGGCCATCGTTCCTCGAGGTCGCTTGGACTGGGATATATCTTCAGTTGGGATTTCTTTTCTTTTCATCAGGCATGAAGAAAAGGGTAGATGGGTTGTGACTCCAAGCGTGACTCGACGAAATTTAAGATGGGGCCCGGCGAGGAATAATCTTCTAGTCAAAGGCATCAGCTCAGCCTAGAATCCATGAAGCTAGTCGAGATTCAACTAGAACGAGGCAGTGAAATATTGACTCTCATTGAGTTTTTCTGCGAAGTCCGCAAACAGAAGACAACAATATCTAAATTGTTGGTCACGTGGTGATATCCACAGCGTATCGGACTGCTGGGCTGCAAACGCCGGTGCGGTCGATCTTCTAGAAGACCAATGTCTCGGAATGCCCATTTCTTTGCGCCACAGAACAGAACAGAACAATGCACTGCAGTTGAAACGGACTTAAGGGGGGAATATTTGAAGACACTCATTGTCTACATGTCCAGTGAATATCTGCGACTGCTCCAGATACTGTCTTCTCAAAGCAGAGTATTAGGATCTGCACAATCAGTCAGATCCAGGGCCCAGCCTGCTGACCCTTCCCCCGGATACCTGCTTTGGCAACCTCCCGCATGTTGCAGCATAGGGCGACGGCTGTGGACCTACGAGACAGTACAATTTTACTGCGACGGAAGCTCTTTCAGCGGTCTTCATGACACCTCCTAATCATGCCGCGCCATTCGAGCCTCCAGACCACCCATTGGCCCCCTCTTCGTTGAGGATATCGAAGATACGAGGCTCCCTAGACACACAATCGATGGCCTCTGTATCAACATTGCCATACAGAGCCTCCAATGCGTCCGTCTCCTCCCTCTTCGCCTCAACCTCAACACCGTCTGGCTCGAGATCCGTTTCACCCAGTGGGGCTGGCACCCCTTCGCGAATGCTTTCTGGATCTGTCTTTGGTGGATTGGGGACTCCGGGGGAACAGGTATCACCAGCAGACCGGCCAGAGGACCCTCGAAACCTCATTTTACAAGCATTCGTGCCTCATATCGCCATTCACACTTCCTCGGATACAAGAGAATTGGTGAAGGACAAGGGCTTTAAGGATGGGTTATGGGAGCTACTCCGACCATTTGGGGAGAGGATACAAGGCAAAGTTACTGTGCGGGATAGCATAGGGGCTGGCCGAGCGTTCGAAGACTTTACCGTTCGATTTGTCGAGCTCAACGATGGACTTGAAATACCAGATGCTATACCGAGCTCAAGGAAAAGTCAGGAAGGGAAGGTTCTAGCCGCCAATGGCAACAAGTTATCTCCAGACGTTGCTCGACGAGCTCGGACTGGAGGAGATATCCAAGCCATTGAGACCCTGGTCGATCGACATCTGGCTTACTCTGAAGACTTCCCAAGCATAAATGGGGAGGACTACCTAAACTTTCGCGATGGTGGAGAGAGGAACCCAAACATACCATCACCGTTCTACACATTATACCTCCGAAGGTTACTTTCAGGGATGCCTTTGGCGCCTCACGAAACCTTCTCCCATCCAGTGGCATGTGTAATTGCTATCAGTTCTCGAAATCCTAGTCCCATTGAAACTTTAAGAAAGTTGTATGACGAATCAAGCTTTGGAGACAAGCGCTTACCACTTTGGGTCAATACTGAATATCTGCGGTATTATGTATTGGTTCATGACGAAGAACGAGATGACATTGCGAAATCTATGACTTTATTCGAGCAGATGAAGCGGCATTTCGGACTACACTGTCATCTTTTGAGACTTCGAAGTTCTCAGTGTGTCGCCACGGACGATGATAGTATTCCGCTCCCACGCTGTGAATGGTTGACAGCTTCTGAGGAGATAGCGGAGATTGAGGCGAGGGAAGTAGAAGAAGACCCTGAAGATTCAGTCCCGTGTATCTACGAATCAGATACCACTGCTATCAAAACTTTCATCAGAGAAATGGTCACCCAGTCTATTGTCCCTTCAATGGAGAGATCTGTAGCTACTTGGAATGACCAAGTTGCATCTAGGCGGCGAGGCTTCACTGGCCGCATCACCAACATGACGAAGAAATGGTCCGTCTTTGGTGGCAATTCGCGAGCATCGTCGAACGGAGCCGGATCATCTGGGTCCAGTAGTAATTACGATGGATTGCAAGGCTTCTATCGACCAGAAACGCCTGAAGCACTGATGCGGAAACTGGCAGACTATGCTTTCATGCTCCGAGATTGGAAGTTGGCGCAGTCGACGTACGAATTGCTTCGCTCAGATTTCAACAACGATAACGCGTGGAGGTATCATGCAGCTGCAAATGAAATGGCTGTAATAAGTACCCTCATGAGCACAAGTGCTTTGAGCTCCAAGATTCGATCAGAAACCATCGACAAAATGCTGGAGCAAGCCCATTACTCTTACATCACCCGGTGTGCATCTAATTATGGGGCGATACGCTCTTTGACACTTGGTATGGAGCTTCTTAGGCTTCGCGGCGGCTCATCTTCAGAAGATGCAGCGAGATGGGGCTTGAAGCTATTAGAACTGAAGGTCGTACCCGTCGTGGGTGATGCTTTAGTCAAGGAACGCGTTTCTATTTGCTACGCTTCCAAGAAGGGTGCAGGAAGTGGACAATGGGGCGCTAGAACACGGAAATCTGCAATGTGGAGTATTCGAGCCGCGGATGCTTGGCTTACACTTGGAAAACCTCAACAGTCGAAGCAACGTCTGGATGAAGCTAAAGCGAAATATGCATCCCTCCTTCAACCTGATAGTATCAAGAGTTTTACGGCAGCGAACACCTTCTTGCAGTCTTTAGAGCGAGAAGTTCAGCTTGCATTGTATCCAGAATCCGGAATCGAAGGTCCAGGAGGAATGGATGATTTGATTGATACATCGATAGAGGAGGAGAGCGAAGCTTTCAGCTCAAGACCCCATCGACGAAGTTTAATGTCCGGAACAGCTCCGGTCATTAGCGGCTTGGGGAATGCACCATTACACGGTGACTTGTTAGGAGAAGAGGAGACAGGAAACCCGACTCTTCAATTTGAATGAGGCCTTTCACGTTGGAAGCGGATCTGAACATATCATCTTTGAGCGGCTACATGGTTGGGAAGAGCATTGGGACGGCGTTTGGTGTAAGATGATTGGCTGTATACATAGCGCCTCTAAGAACAACTTATCCATCATCTGCTGAGTGGAAGGGCTGTAATGGTCCTCGTCAGGTATGCAGATTAACGAAGATAGAGGATCTTGAAATGCAAGGAAACTCGACGTTAACCCCTTAAATTGTCGCTTAAATGAAGCTCAAAGTGTTCTATTCTTTGCCCGACAATTTGATGGGTAAAAGCTGGGAATCATAGCATAGGTGCTTCCAATTTACAAAGTTTAAGACTGCAATCTTATCATAAGCCAATCTTCAAAAGTGAGTGATCTTAAACCTAAGAATGATCAAAGAACAAGGGTGAATCAACCTTGGATACCTCCATAAAGTTATGCTATCACAGGTAGACTTTATGCAAATCGCGTCCCTCGACCTTACCCTTATCGATAACAAATCACAAGGTAAACCTGCAAGACAAAACAAAACAACAACAACGTCTGGCATATCCATGAGCCTGATCACTTGCTCACAATGAGTGAGCTTCTTACGTACCTGCAAAACAATGAGCCCCAGTTCCGCAAGTATGTTCTTTCCTGTCTTTTGCGCTCTTCCTCATTGTCGTTTCTACCTGCCTATTGCCTGCGTCATAACATCAAAACACCCCAGCACAGTTGTCAAGAGTCAAGATACATGCTGATATGATTTGAAAATAGAGCTCGTCTGGCCGCCCTCTATTCCGACTTTCGCTATCTCCTGACTACAAACCCTGACGGCTACTCCGCGAACCTCTCAGCTTGGCGCACCGGCCTCTCTTCCGCTGCCAAAGCGGGCGTTCTTCCAAATGGCGACCACTTCTCTATAACGTTCGACGAGGAACTATTACGGAGTCTAGAGACTAAAGAATGGGGGCGGCCGTTAAGTCTCGGAACCGTGGTCAGAGAAGCGGTTGCGGGTGCGAAGACTGGGAAGGGAGAGGGGAGGTGGTGGATGGAAAAGGAGTTCTTGGAGAAAGAGGACAGTGTTTACACGAAGGGTTGGGGAATAAATATACAGGTACCAGGACCGGGAGATGTTGTGAGGTGGGGTTTACGACAGCTGGGCCTTGGTGGGAATGAGGATCGGCTTGTTACTGGGAAGGTGGTTGTGCTAGAGAATCTGGAGGAAGCTGGAAGAGAAGCACAAAAGAGGCTTGAGGGCCCGAGAGGGAGGATTGAGAGGATACTCTCCAAAGATGAGTTTAAAGAGAAGGTGGAAGATGTGTTTGGAGAAAAGAAGAAGCTCTCTGGTAGGGATATGGAGCTGCTATTACGTTTTTTGGCCAGAGACAAGCAGATTCTGGCTTACGATGGCGAAACTGTAAAGGTCAAGGCGCCCAATGAGAAGGTAGCCGCTCCGATCACAACAGAAGACACGACGATCGCCTCGTTGAAAACTCTTATCAAGGATCTGGAAATTCAGACAACGGTGTTGTCCAAGAGGATAGACGAACTTCTCCTCACTGCTAAGGAAGCAGCTGCCCGGAAAAATACAGTGGCAGCTCGCGCAGCATTACGATCGAAGAAGCTAGCCGAAACGACGTTGGTGAAAAGACATGCTACCCTAGCGCAGTTGGAAGAGGTATTCGCCAAGATTGAACAGGCCGCTGATCAAGTTGAACTTGTCCGAGTTATGGAGGGAAGCACTAGAGTCCTGACTGGTTTCAATCAAGAGGTCGGAGGAGTGGAAAGAGTCGATGATATTGTTGATCAGCTACGAGAGCAGATGAGCCAGGTCGACGAAGTTGGAAATGTGATTACCGAAATTGGCCAAGCTGGAGCTGTTGACGAGGGCGAAGTTGATGACGAGCTCGAGGCTATGGAGAGGGAAGAACGAGAGAAGGTGGAAGCTAAGGAGAGGGCAGAAAGGGAAGAGAGAGAGAGACAAGAAGCAGCAGAGACGAAGAAACGACTAGATGCCTTGGAAGAAGTTGAACGCTCAGCCAAAAAGCAAAGCGAGGAAGCGGACGTGGAGAAACGGCTTAGTACAAGCACTGAAAGTCTGAAACGCATGTCACTGGATCCGGAGAATGTTGCAGCATGATCAAGCTTGTTAGATTTTGTATATGCACATGATATCGGCGCTACGGAGTTGTGGTTTATGGTACATATAGCTTTAGCATATTGCAAGGCTAGGGTTGCATAGGTCTTACTGTAGCAATATTTGAAGCCAATCCAGCATCTGCTTCCAGAGCTTCGAGTTTTTCTTGATACTGTGATGAAGGTGGGGGTTCTGAATTGGTCTCGTGGAAGAACCTGGTCTGAGAAGCTAGCTTTTCAGGCGTATCTTCAACCATAATCGGTGCATCAACTTGTCTTTCTGTCATGACTGTGTCCACGTCCGGAGTGTCTGTCACAAGTCCAGCATCTGGTGTCGTACTTTCAGCCGGTTCCGACGGGGTAGGCGCAGAAGATGGGGCCTTGGTGTTTCGTCTTGCATTTGCGATGAGTTGCTGAAAATCGTTGCTATAATCCGTAGCCCAACCCTTTCCATTGAAATCCTTATTCCTGATTTGCGAACCCATCTGTGTCGCGCTCGATACAGTAGCTCTGCCTCCTTGAGTCCTCTCCCAGATATCCAGTTCCCTCTTTAGATCTGCCTTGGACTTAGGTTTGGTTGCATCACAGTTCGCATTCCAGAGGGTAACCCATTCTGTGTATCTCCGTTCAAGTAGCTGTCTATTACCTGCTGCTGATAATCCGGCGTCCGTAAGCTTCTTCCTCAAAGGGTTGTCTTTGATCATGGAATAGCTGATCTGTGCTAACCGTTCGGGTCGCGCGCTAGGTTTTTCTGTTGATGGTGTTGGATTTGCTGTGCTTCTGCTAGATCTACTAAGAGATTTCGTGACAGTAACTCGGGGTTCTTCTGGGCAACCATCATCAATATGCTTATTGATGTGGGCCAAAACGACTTTCTGCTCGCATATAGGGCAGGGAATAGTGTCGTCTATCATGATCAGAATTAAAATAGAATATAAATTACTCAGCTAACAACTAACCTAGAGTGTATTCCTCATCTGAGTCTGCCACAGAGATGACTTTTTGTGAAGAGGATTTGGTTCGCTCTGAACGCCGCCTTTTCTGTGGCGACATGTCCTCACCTCCATCATCCACTTCTTCCAGACTCCTTTTCGAAGCCGAGCTCGTCGGTATGCTTGTTGGCGTTCTAGCAAATGCTAATACATCTGGCCTTGCCCTCTTGAAAGCATCAACCAGGTCCTCCATCGCATTGTTGTTCCGCAGCTTCATTGCCTGCTCTGGCGCTCGACATGCCGGGCATTTACCGTCGTTATTAAGACTCCTTCGTATGCATAGCGAGCAAAATGTGTGGGAGCAAGAGGTAATCATTGGTGTAGTATAGAAGTCTCTACAGACTTGGCATCGCAAGGCTGAATCGACTTGGGCAAGAGATCGTAGTGGGGTTTCCAACCAGTCCGTAGAGTCTGGGACTTCGAGAGCGTCATCTTTCGATGCTCCATCCATACTGCGATAGTCTGTAGAGGTGGATAAGGTGGTAAGGCAAGGTTTGTCGCATTCGAATGTATGTTGTTGATGGCAAAACGTCACGAGCCGAGTCGCGTAAAGTGGTTCGCGAAAGCGCGTCGTCCTTCCAAAATTGTTCCACTGACTTTGGAAAATTAACAACAAGCAACTTTCAGACAATAATGAACAATGGCGGATTACAAGACCTACCTAGCTTCCAGCATATTGACTGAGGACAAGATTGTATGTTTTCGATTGCTATTTCGTTGCTATTGTAACTGACAATCAAAGGTTAGCTATCGACTCCTCAGTCGAGCCCTCAAGGTCAATGTGAATGCTGCGAAGGAGTAAGATACTACACATTCGGCTCGAAAAGGATTATCTAACATATGGTAGGATGCTCTATGAATTCCATCGCCAGCAGAATGGAAAGAAGCCAGGCACAATCCACGCCACCTATCTAATCAGCGGGACCAAACAAAAAGAACCCGAAGTCGCAAACGATGCCGTAGAACAGGATGGAGAGGATACGCATATGCAGAGCAGCCCGCCGTTCATGAGCAGCTCGATGCCTCAACCACAAGAGACTAGTGATGACAGCGGAGTACTGAGTATTACATTGGTGAGAGAAGAGAATCTCGACGGTAGCTATGGCCAACTACGTTCAGGAGGAGCGGTCACTGAGAAATTCAATAGAAGTGCGGTCACAATATGAACACATCACATCAATACATGTCTATAGCATTGGGCCACACCCATTGAAGGTCAGTTCGAATTCAGCTTTTAAAAAGCTAGCTGACGAACTTAGGATCTCCAAATTCTGTCAGACATTACTCGACAAGTCCGAGAAATTTGTGCAGACGAAGATCCCCTCGAGACTGCCTCTACATATGGTACAATCATAAACAAGAATGCCAAGCGCCGAGAAGGAAAACGGCCACCGCCAGCTCCTGCTCCCGTAGCCCCAGTACCTGCGAAAGCTCAGCCCGCGAAGCCCAAACCAGCAGAGTCCAAGCCAGAGCCACCTCCCAAGAAAGAGATATCTTCTACGGCGAAGGACTTCTTCGGAAAATCCAATTCGAAACCCAAAGCAAACCCCGCCAGCAACCCTTCCAGCAAAGAAACTACTCCTAATCCACCAACTCTGAAGCGTGACTCGTCCAGCATATTCAAGTCCTTTGCAAAAGCTAAACCTAAGCTCAAGCGCGAAGGGACGGACAGTTCGGTTGCGGACTCTCCTGCTTTGTCGCCCGCAGAAGACTCGCCTATGAAAGGTCTATCAGATGATGACGAGGAAGAAACATATGTCTCACCTGCGCCCGCGGATATGGAGATCGTGAATAAGAGTCGCAAGGAGAGAAAGGAGAACGAAGAAAAGTTGAGACAAATGATGGAGATGGATGATGAGGATGAAGAAGAGGAGATAAAAGAAATCGAGGAGCCAGAGGCTGTGGAGAAAGAAGCTAGTGTTGAGAAAGAGGTACCACCGACTGTAAGTGGAGGTAGAAGAAGAGGCAGGAGGAGAGTGATGAAGAAGAAGACTGTTAAGGACGAAGAGGGATACCTTGGTAAGTACTACGTTCTCATTACTTGTGTGTTACTGATAAGATGTAGTGACGAAGGAAGAACCTGTCTGGGAATCATTCTCGGAAGACGAGCCAGCTCCAATGCAAAAGCCCAAAGCACATGCTCCGGTAGCATCTACGAAGGGCAAGAAGGCAGCTGGAAAGGCAGGGCAGGGCAGTATCATGTCTTTCTTCGGTAAGAAGTAGAGGTTCGACCAAGTTTCGTGGCATGGCATTACCGGCATTCATGAAATTCACGACACATATATTTACGAGAAATGAGCTTGGTCAGCGAGATTTTATACTGTTGTCAGAATATAATGGCTATGTCAAATGTGCTGCTATAAACTTCGTAAGCAATATTGCTCATCATGATCATTCAATCACGTATGGCTCAGCTCCATCGCCAAATAAAAGATGAGGCTTCCTCCTCGCAACATCTAAAATCGTTTGAGCGAATACGCTATTTGCCCCTATTTCTGTTAGCGAGGTTTCAGATGCACTGTTACATATTTACTCACAAGCAAACCAACTCCCTGTCCAACGCATTAGCAATTGAGTCCCGGTATATGATAGGGAGAAACTTACTTGTATAGTCATGGATTCTGTTGACATGGATCGATTCGTGCACCAGACCAAGAATGCTAGCATTCAAGACCAAACCAATGCATTCACTAATCTCCTTGTCATCGTCCGAAGTCATAGCTTGTAAAAGTAAACTCATCGGCCACGCATATTCAGTTCCGATGTGAGGTCCTATTAATATTATCAATTATGCTTCTTGACAACTTCGGATGTGCCTTTACCTCCAATTCCATGGAAGGCCTTTCCTTCCAAATAGTAAGGATTTCCATCCTTGCTTAGTAGCATTTTCCTCGTGTTTTGGTATACCTGATCTGTCCTATCGACGAAACCGAGTATTGGAAGAGCCAGCAAAGAAGGGACATTAGCGTCATCCATCATGATCTGAGATCCATAACCATCGACCTCATAAGCAAACACTCGTCCATACTTCTTGTGCTGTACGACACCATGGGCCCAGATGCCATCAGTAATCGTCTGTGAGCGCTTCTCTAACAATTGCGCCATCTTGACATTCTTTGCTGCTGTAAGCATTTCTGCCGTCTTCTTGAGTTCGACAGCGATTTGAGCATTCGCTGGAATATAGAAGCCCAGGATTGTGGCATCATCACTTGGTCTGAAAGCGCTTCGGACGAGACCAGTACCATAGTTTAAAGGATTGCCAACTCCTGACAAAGGCAAAGTCTCTGTACCTTGGTTGGTGTTTCTGGAAAAGGTGTAAATATTCTTCTCGAATCTGCCAGTGTCGGGATCAAAGGTCGACTGAGATTGCTGGTCGAGGACTGTTAGGACAGTATCTAGTGCTTTGTACCATCTTGTTGTCAAGAAAGCTGTAGAACCAGTATGATTATAGAAAGAGTTTCCAATCGAGAGGAAATGTGCTAAAGAGTCCAATTCGTACTTGCATTCGAAGACGAAGGAAGGCTCGTAAGCAGGATGTACGTTGTCGTCTTGGCCATTTTGAGTAGCATGAAGCTTGGACGGAGCGGGCGGTTGAAACGCGTTGCAGTAGGGTGACTGGATGACATATTCCGCTTGTGTATTGATGGCACCCAAAATCAAATTAAAAATCTTGTCGTCCTTCTTGGCCAATGGCTGGTACTGCAGGAGCTGGTTCGTTGAGTCTCGGAGCCATTCTGCATTGATGTCCCCAGTAACCACGAAACTTTGAGGCCCGGCCCATTTCCCGTCGTCTTTCTGGCCTCTAGCTTTCAACTCGGTATGTGCAACTTGTCCATCTACATGCCACCGTACCGTCGTGTCGAGCGTATTGGGGAAAGCATTCTCGAATAGCCGTGCCATGTCTTTATCAACTATCTTCTCGTTCATATCCTCGATAACTTTCTCGACAAGTGGGGATGTAAATGTCCGACATTGTTTCGCCGGACGCTGGAATGGCAGAGCTCGTGGACCTTCAGAGAATGGTCGACTGTCAAATGTCAGTAGATGACAGAAGAATATCCAAGAGGAGCATACTGCATGAACATCGAGTATTTCTTGTAATCCGGACAAGCTTTAGCAATCTGCTCGGCGTCATGCTTGGCTTTCTGTGCTTCTGAGAGGATATCTTGATCCTCTGGAGCGGAAGACAGCACAGCTCCAAGGTACAATGGCCACAGCCATAGTGATTGATGCATTGCTGCTGCGATGAAGTGCTCGACTCGACGGTCAAAGGTGGGCAGAGATGGTTTAAATCATTGGAAAGTGGGACTCTTCGATCGGAGCTGCTGCAAACAACAGAGCTCTGGGAAATCGGTTTGGTTTATTGATTGTGGGCTCGAGAGGAGCCAGACATCCGGGTTGAGTGGGTTCTGTCAAACCGCGGCTACAACGTTTCATCCTTCACGAGCCTCGTCTACTCGAGTCCTCGTCAGACAAGGCTGTAGAAGCGGCTGATTAAGCCCCACTAAAACCTATCTCGCGTAGGTTCCAACCTGTACCGCATTATATTCTGCTGTAAATGTTCGAGTTGTTTGTTCACACATGGTTGCTATCAACCACAAATTTCTCTCCGCTCTGGCATTTCAAGGCGATACATTCTCGCTCTGGGTTCGACATTCACCGCCCACCATTCTCGTCTGCTTCTAACTTTCAAAATCATGCCAAACCCACTGACCTGCTTTCTCTAAACAGAATCAGAGTCGACCTGTGGATAGATTAACAATCCAAGAGGCGCAAGTCAAAAATCATCTGTCGACTCATAGACGCGCTGCAGCACATCTGAAATGTTTTCTCCTCGGACACGTCTAGAGAACATACACAACTTGTCAACATTCTGCAATCAAAGGCTGTTGATGCTGTTCATTCACCAATCATGATGTTGTTTTATAAGATGAAGAATTTGTTTTAGAGAATTGGAAAGTCTCTCCGAGTCTACGGTTCGAAGAAGTCATCTCATTCTCGTTGGTACGCATTTTATATTCTCTCCGAATCCTAGACTCTTATTCGTGCATTCTTAACCCCATTTGCCTAAGCTTGATTACACTAGAGTAAGTACATGCTTGGCAACCTTATACTCGTGCATTTCCTTCAGCACATACGCGTCCTTTTTTGCGTCAGTGGCCATAGATCGCTCCAGATAGTGAACTTCCCATCTTCCAATTCTTTGGTATTCTCCTTGCGATTCACCAGTGGGTACCAGAAGTAGCCCATCGGTGGCGGTAATTTCCAATATATAAATATCCTTATAGACACTACTAGCAGTATCATCGTCCAGACAGTCAAAGTGAGTGTCCAACAATACTCCAGCAGACGTTTCTACGCGACCTTCGTTACTGATTGTCCCAACGAATAGCGGGTTACATGCAAGCCACAATATTGCTTCCGGCACATCTCCAAATGGAGTCTCAGATGTCGCTGGTGACTTGACATCTAGAATATCTACCAAAAATGGCAACCTACTTCCAATAAAGCGTGGGTTGCATTTTCCGTTGATGGGCATCCACGACCATGTAGGCGCTCGTGTTGGTAAAAGTCTTCGACCTGGAGACTATTGTGCTGCCAACTGATCCCGTCACATTCCTGCATAATAATCATCTCCTGTCTTCTGGTACAGGCTCTCCGGAATGCCAGCCAGCCAATGCAACCGCTTATCCTTTTCGAAGGTTAGATTGCGTCCTGAGTATTGACTTACAATCGAGTCCCACGTCTAGATAGAAAGAGGCTTCTTCCACTTCGACCGACTATCAAACCTGAATGGAGAGCTTTCACTCACGAATTGGGTATTACATTCCCAAAAGACTTCTGTGCGTGTAAAGTGTACGGCCCGCGGCGAAAGGAGTCGTTCCTGCAGGGTCCAGCCTCGAGCCTCCAGTGGACAATGGAGATAGCTACTCAAGGATGGATAATGGGGACGCACTCGTAGAGGACATGTTTATATTTATTGATCTTCAGCGGGAATTGGCATCTTCGCATATCCTTTCGATCAAAAAAGCATCCTTGGCTTCCATCACTAGCTCCAGACGCAGAAATGTTGAGTATACCACCACCGTAAACGTTGACCATCGTAATAGACTCTGCCGCCCAATCTGCAGCATCTCTTTGTATTATAAACAAAGAGTCGATCCAGATATATTGTATTTTCAATTCTTTGCAAATCGCTATTGCATCGCGAAAATTTTTGGAAAGTTTCTCGAGCGGTATCACGGACATGACATCGACCAGCGTCAATGTTGTCAGTTGGCAGCTTCTAGTTTGAGGCTTGCCCCAACAGTGGCTTAGAGTAGCGTATTCGATATACTCGTTTTCTACTAGTTGACTCTCTAGACGCAGCCTTGGGTTCCTTCCAGTGAGATCGATGAGTCGCTCTGGTCTGAAGCTGGTGCGATTGTTGCAGCCGTTGTGGCGCTCAAGACATGCCGATAGCCACTCCTTCACTAGTGGTAGAGATTGACTTGTGTTCGGAGGTCCATGTTTTGCTTGCAAGATCGGATTCTCTATATCAAACAAAATAGTCAGAACGTGTTTCTAGTGAAATATCATACAGGCTTATGGGGCTCTGCAGATCTTCTCAGTTGCACTCGAGATGTCAATAGAGGTGGAACCGAGACAGAGTGACGAGTGAAGCTCGAACTGATCTGAGGACGCGGAATGCCGCTCCAGACCCGGTAAGTAAATTCGATATTTCCACTCGGAAAAGCTGTCTCTCCGTATGTAGTTCTCTATTTGTTAAATTGTTTTGCTATCTCAGCATGACAGTCTGTCTGTGTTTGGATGGACATCGAATATAGGAACATTGCACAGAGACCGCAGCCAGCTTCCGCTGACACCTTCAGAGCTGATGGATGCTGAACATGGTCGAGAACTGTTGTATCCATAAAGCCTCTCCTTCGACCTTCTCGTATGAACTGTGGCAATAAGTCTACCATTGTCTGGCAATAGCTACACAACTTTGATAAGTATGCATCGCCGTTTGAGAGAGCGGACCGAGGACTTGATCGAAAGAGTGGTCTCCATCACTACTTGATCCGTCGCTGTCTGTGCTATTGTCGCTCTCCCAAGCATCTAACGAGCCGGATTCGTTGTTATGAGAGTCCCCGAGCTGATCCATTCTGTGCTCTGTCCAGTCTTTTAACACACAACCGAACTCTTCCTTTCAAAAACAAGTGCCAATACGATGAACCAAAAATTGGAGTAAGTATGCTTCACAACCTCCCTAAACGACGGCTGCCTAACCAGAATCAAGGACCAGTCACAGACCGTTCCCGCATCTGCAGCTGGCTCGATTAGGATTCTCATTGGCGACATTAACTCTTGCATGGCCTAATACTCATAAGTAGGGTTAGCAGTCTTGAACATTTGCTGGGTCCGGGAAGCAACATGGCTATACTGCTAATCTTGGCTTTCGTCCCTATATAGGTATCAAATTGTTAGTTATATAAAACATTGATTGCTCTTCCTGTTTGTATTTGTCCCACCTTTGCCTATTGACACTACTTGGTCCCTTCTTAAAGTGCTTCGGCAATCTTTTAGCATAGTCGAAATAGGACCCTTCAAGTTAGGCTTCTGCTCGCTGAGAACTTCACAGTGTTGCATGCGTGCAAAAAGGAGATGTCAAGACCCAATTCATGCTTTTTGACCTTCTTGAAAATACAATACAAGCTTCCTTTCATGTTCTCCCAACCTGCTTCGAATCTCACTCCCTGCGACGTCGCTCTTTCCCCTCAAGCTCCTCCCATCGCGACCTTCCGATCAAGGATATGACGATATCATCGTCTCACTTTCCATCACCGTGCCTTCTCATTCCAATCGCAGCAGTGTTAGCGTCAAACCCGTTTATTTAAACTCGTCTTCCTCAACTCTTCTTCCTCTTCTTCTTTTCTTTTTTCCCTGGCTACATTGGGCTCATAGCTGACGAGGATCAAGAAGCTCTCAGCTGGCAGACATGTCATTGCACTTCGACATGTCTGGGAGGCCATTTCGGAGGCCTCTGCGGCACAATTTTTTGATTTTCCATCCTCCTCTAGTAGGATCTTGTATTGTCGTGCATTTGACCTCAGTTGGAGGTCGGGCTGGAATCAGGAGTCAAAAAAGGGTATGTGAACACTCACCACACTGTGCGACGCTCAAGCTGACCCCAGACATATCCTCAGGTTCCTATGCGTCGTCGTCACCGATGCGTCGAGGTGGTCTTGCAGCGTGCTCGGTCAGCGAGGTCGATATGTCTGCTGGTGAGTATGATTCTAGCCAGCGTGAATCCAACCACTAACCATGAAGACATCTCGTTACGAATACACGTTTGGTTGTCGCAGCTCTGGTCCTTGTCGATTGTTAGTAAGCGGGTGAGTGGGTGGTGCATGGTGACTGAAGGTTGGACATAAATGTGAGGAGCGTGGAGACATGTAGATAGGCATGGAGCATACCGTCAATCAATTCTCATCACATACCTATTGCTCCATCTTCGTGGACGAAGCCATCAGTGAAATGCCTGCTCCGCCTTCCTCGTTGTCGTCGTGCATGTCTTGAAAAAAAAAAGGAATGAAGAAGTAACATGTGCTGGGGGGAGAATTTATACTTGAAAATCAGGGTGGTACCGGTCTACTTTAAGTACTTCTTGTCCCGAGGATTTGTAAGTCATGAACGTCATAACATTACTTGACACGGTCGTGACAAGTGGCACTTTAACACGACTTGCGTTCTCCGGCATACACTTTACCAAAACGAGATAGTCTATAGCGAACGGACTCCGTTCAAATAAATAGCTCGAGCCCAGCACCGCGTTGGAACCGACGGTCTTGCAGATTTTCTAATGAGATACTTCTACGAGACCTGCCTAACCAGGACCAGTCTGCAGCTAGTTTAGGATTTCCAAGGTTGGTCTTCCCTTGCACGTGTTCACCATCCGGTCGAGTAACGAGGGCACGGTTCTGGAAATGTAGGATTTTATTGCTTGCAATGAATCAATGGTGGAGTATAAATTATACTGTAGATTTATCTCTCGAGATATTGATTAGACCCAGTCAAGTGATTTGTGTCCGTATAGAGGTACTCAAAAGCCAACCTTGTAATTCTCGCAGTCGAAAAGACCCTCTACGTGCTGCAAGGCTGAATTTGATCGTCAATCCCTTGTTCGAATTTCTACGAGAAAGACTTGATGAACTCATTCAAAATGTCCTCCTCAGGCAGTGAGAATGTCGCACGCTAATTTGGCACTGCTAGTCAGGGACATTGAACAACATATTATACTTTTGATAATCTGAGTGTCGATCCTCTTACTAGGATTTTTAAAGAATCCATTGGTATGAGCAAAGCAGTGGAATATTCAAGCAGCCACGGGACACCAACAGCGACATGACCATTGACAGCTTTCAAGAAAGACATAAGAAACAATGGAACATAAATCGAAGTGCAAAATATCTCACACATCCTAAAAGCTACTAAGCACTAGCTCTCCCCAGATTCAACACAGACATTTAATCAAACCCATGTGGAGTCCTGATCATGGGTGTCTTCCCCCACCAACCCCACTTGGCGCGGCCGGCGAATCGACTTTATTTCAACGCCACACCACCTTCCTTCTCCATGCAACTAATGCATGCATGGTCACGAACCTCGTCCGCAGAGAAAAGCAATCATGTGCCTGTGAGTGTTTCGTGGGGTTGAAGGATCTTCAAAGATGTCTTGCTTACTGCGTGGAAAATTTGAGATGGCTTGTTTCTCCTCCCCGTGTTTTTCATCCAGTAGCAGTACCTACGTAGGTAAGAATATTTTAGCGTCCGGGTGCAGCACGCCGTTGCCGAGCCTGTTCCTCGTCTCCTCGTCTCCTCTGCCCATTGCTCAATGTTCCGTTCCTTCCAGTACCCCCATCTTGCTTCATCGGCGATCAGTTGAGGCTTGACAATCTGCAAGTTGTGCGTCCTTGCTTCTCCTTCCGCATATACAAAGCGACTTTGACTTGATAGGCTCAGATGAGCTCTTTGTCCTTGCTCATCCACCTCCGCCATATCTTCTAATCTCTTCCTCAAAGCTTCTCGCGCCTCTGGAGTTCCACTTCCGTTCTTGATGCCCCACTCGTAGACTTTGCTTAAGTCCACGGACTCGTTCGCGAAAATAACACTCAGTCTCCCATCACCCAACAACTGTTTCCCTTTGACTTTCTTGTTCACCTTGTCTGTGCTCTCCTTCATACCCGCTTCTTCTAACTCCACGGATTGCTCGTTGCCCTGATCATTGGCCTTCAACGTTGCCCATTCTTCATCGGTCAGAACTCGATTCTTTTCCAGACCAACAACCTCCATATACGATGCATCACCTAGCAATGCTGGCCAACTATCAGGTAACTTCGTCCGCTCAATTGCACTGTCGATAATTACCAGACCTACTACCTTTTCCTTTCCATGCATAGCCAAGAATTCCCTGACCAGGACCCCGCCATAACTGTGACCAACCAGAATCCAGGGAGGAGCAATACCACCAACATCCAACAACTTCGTCAGATCTTCACATCTCTTAGTAGCCGTCAACGGCTGCGCAGATGCGGGTAGAGGAGCTGAATCCTTCGCCTTGCTCTTTCCATACCCAGCACGATCGTAAGTGTATACGGGAGCGTACTGAGATATAAGACGAGCTGCAGCCACCCATTCCGCGCTGGTCCCTCCGAGGCCAGCTTCGATGATGACTACTGGCTGTGATGGGGAAGTCCGGGGGGACGCATCATAAGCACGCAAGAAAAGAGAATAATCCCCGATGGACACGAGATTGCCGCCGAATTCGTTGCCAGAAGAATGTTGTTGAGACATGGTCGACGCCATTGCCAATTATGGAATACCGCAGGCCAGTGGGGTTTCTCAATGCAAGTCAGACAAGAAGGAAGTTGGAGTCTGGGATGGGGAAGTGGAGGGCTTTCCAGGATACCCTCAGGTGATAGCAGCAGCCAAGGAAACTAAACATCTGACGTAAAAGCTTTCAGGAAACGGCTTACTATCCTATATCCTATCCTATACGCATCCCCATCCCATCCCAACTCACCACGAACTTTCATGTGCAGGAAAACGAAGTCCACTCAATTGCGTTGGAGATGATGATGATGATGATGGCAAATCGACAATGTCTCGATTCAGGTTTTCCATATTTCACTCAATATCGGTACCGGGAAAAGCCCCAAGCCCCCCATCCAATGGAACCGCTTAGGGCCCTCTGTGGTTTCCACAACGGGGGTCAATGCGCTAAAATGCCTCAACAGATACGCCACCGCCAGTGTGCACCTCCACGATCCCGGGCAGGCCTTGTCCTGTACCTGACTCTCTTTTTTTCCAAGCATCGTACATCCCATTTCCACGCATCTCATCCCTCACGCAAATGGAGTTATTCATTTTCCTCCCCTCTGATCTCGACAATGCAGTCACTTACAGCCACTACAACCGCACCAGATACGACGGCTCCACGGTCCGGCGACTACCCCCCACGCCGGGCCGCGGGAGAGCCGTCAGAGCAGTCCCCAATGGTCCAATGGTCCAATGGATCACTGACGTTCTTGTAATTCAGGTTCACCAGGTTCTGTTTCGGGGCTGGGTGCTACTGCAGTCACCTGGCGGTCAGGGTCTTCAGGGTTAGACCAAATTCTCTTCTCACCGATTGCATATTCACCAATATCTGTGGCCTCCGCACTCGGGGGGGTACTTAACGAGACTCTCTGCCTGTTCTTAAGTACGCCCTTTTTGAGAGATGGAACATACGGTAGGATACTCCTCCAAACACCCTAAGCATACCATTCGACACCGCTCCATGTCCACCGCCACCAAAAGACCATCCAAACACTTGCTTCACCAGTACTTGCTCCTCCCGACCCAAGTCCAATCCCATAATGCTTGGCTCAACTCACAATGGTGCTCGCTATGAGCTGACCAGTCCTACCGCCATGCCCAAGGCCGCCGGTTTCTTGTGGAACCAGAGAATGATGATCCAAATGACCTGCCGCGGCTACGCTGTCGCCCAGTTCATGCAGCCCGAGCCGACCAAATACTCGCATGCGCCTAACATCGAAGCAAAGACGTTCATGCAGCCAGAGCAGAGCTACTATGCCCACCACCCAGGCCGTTTCGTCTACATCAAAGATGAGGAGACTGGTGATCTGTTCTCGGCCCCGTACGAACCGGTGCGGGAACCAGTCGACCGTTTTTGTTTTTCGGTAGGCCAGAGCGACATCGTATGGGCCGTCGAGCATCTTGGCATCCGGGTTGAGATGACCTTGGGTTTGCCCACGCAGGACGTAGCCGAGCTGTGGACAGTCAAGGTCACGAACTTGTCAGGACGACGACGTAAGATCAGCGTCTACCCGTACTTCTCGATAGGCAATATGTCGTGGATGAACCAGTCCGCTGAGTACCGTCCGGATCTCGGTGGTGTCGTCGCGAGCAGTGTGACGCCATATCAAAAGGCAACTGAATACTTCAAGAACAAGTATTTGAAAGATAAGACCTACATGATGTGTGGAACACCACCCACGTCTTGGGAAACCAATCAACAGGCCTTCGAAGGTGAAGGGGGTCTGCACGATCCATCCGCTCTCAGGGAACCCAACCTGTTGGGCACTGACGCGCGCTACGAAACGCCCGTAGCCGCCGTGCAGTATCGACTCGCGCTCAACCCAGACGAGCAACGAGAGTACCGCTTCATGTTCGGTCCAGCATTTGATGATGAGGAAATTCGAGGTATGTGCAAGAAATACCTGTCCAAGGGAGGGTTTGCCAGAGCCGCTCGCGAGTACGCATGGTACATCGAGCAAGGCCGTGGATGTCTCCAGATTGAGACCCCAGACGAGGATCTAGACAACTTTGTCAACAACTGGTTACCTCGCCAGGTTTACTATCACGGCGATGTGAATCGTCTGACAACAGATCCTCAGACTCGCAACTATCTTCAAGACAACATGGGCATGAGTTACATCAAGCCTGAGGTCACACGCAAAGCTTTCCTCACTGCACTCTCTCAGCAAGAATCTACTGGTGCCATGCCCGATGGGATTCTCTTGGCCGAAGGAGCAGAGTTGAAGTACATCAACCAAATCCCTCACACAGACCATTGCGTATGGCTTCCAGTGACGCTGGACACCTACCTGGCCGAGACAGCTGACTATGCTCTCCTAAAGGAAAAAGTAGAGGGTCCTGATGGAGATGAGCTGACTGTGTTTGAGAGAATCAGCGGTGCCATGGATTGGCTTTTGAAGGCTCGTGACGACCGTGGCCTAAGCTACATTGCCCAAGGTGACTGGTGTGATCCCATGAACATGGTTGGTTACAAGGGCAAAGGCGTCTCAGGCTGGCTCACTGTAGCGACTGGCTACGCACTCAACCTCTGGACCGCTGTTTGCGAACAACAAGGTCACAGCAAGCTCGCTGCACACTATCGTGAAGGTGTGGACGAACTCAATGCAGCCGCAAATGAGTATCTCTGGGACGGAGACTGGTTCGCACGTGGCATCACAGACGACGATGTAGTCTTTGGTACCAAGAAAGACAAAGAAGGACGCATCTGGCTCAATCCTCAGACGTTCTCCATCCTTAGTGGAGCAGCTAACACCGAGCAACGTGCCAAGATATTCAAAGAGGTAGAGAAGCAGCTCAGCACACCGTATGGCGTTACCATGTTCGCACCACCATACAGCAAGATGCGAGAGGATGTTGGTCGTGTGACACAGAAGTATCCAGGCTCCGCTGAGAATGGCTCAGTTTACAACCACGCTGCCATCTTCTACGTCTACAGTCTCTATACTATCGGAGAGCATGATCGCGCCTACAAGATTCTCCGCCAAATGCTTCCAGGTCCAAGCGAGGAGGACTACCGCCAACGTGGTCAACTACCCATTTTCATTCCTAACTACTACCGTGGTGCCTACCACGAGTATCCACACACGGCAGGCCGCTCGAGTCAGCTTTTCAACACGGGAACCATCACTTGGGTCTATCGCTGCTTCAGCGAGGGACTCTGTGGCCTGCGCGGCGATGCCGAAGGACTGACTATCCGCCCCAAGCTACCTTCAACGTGGAACTCGATCAAAGTCACCCGCCTCTTCCGTGGAGCCAAGTTCGAGCTGGATATCCGTCGCAAGAATGGTTTGAGAGAGACGATGGTCATGCATGCCGGGAAGGTCGTGCCAGGGGCTCGGATTACGAACATCAAAGCGGGTGCAACGTATCACTTGTCCGTTCTTGTCCCGCAATGAATATGACAGTTTGGGTTTTTCTTTTTCTTTTTGGCTGGTTGTTTTTTCTTCTTTGGCGCAGGCTTGGATTACGAAGATTGTTGGGAGGATTAATTACGGAACTACTGAAAGCATAGTTCAGCCACAAAGCACACACAATAGAGGCAGCGAGAATAGAATAGGGGCATTCTGGGCAATTTTCGCAATACAGGCTGGTGGCTGGGATATCGGAATTAATTAGATTGTGGCGAAGCAATTCCAATTTGGATATTGGCAATAATTCGGTCGGCACTTGGAGTCGATTGCGGGCGTGAACCAACAATACTCGGTATCTGCTTTGGCACACACATTGGCGTTGGGCTTTTTTAGAATCCAGATTGGCAAAATCCCTCAATGGGTAGACCTGCATAGAGCAGAGCAGAAATAATGCACAGTGAGCTCCGATTCTACTCCGATATGCCACGTACTTGCTCTTGTGTATCGTTACACACAATTGAACTTCAGACACGCTGCTGGAGGCACAAGAATGATTGGTCGCCACGCGAACTGCGGCTGAAGAGGGCTGCTTGACAAACGGCACCTCTTGAAAGCAAGCAATATGGTGATTTTCCAGAGTCGCTGTGAACGAGCTGACGAGCCGTTTGAAACGGGTCAATGACAACCTACGAACAATTTAGGAGACTCAACACGTGCAACGCAACTTCTGGTATCAAGCCACTGTCTTACAGACTGCGTCGCTATGGCCTCGGGTGTGGAATCGTTTGAATCATTTCAAGAGGATATCGACGATTCGTCTTTTTACGATGCTACCTACGCCTTGCTCACGCAGGATTTGTTCGGTGGGAGCGGACCCAATGAGATATGTTCCACAGAGAATGTGAATGATAAGCTTGAACCCTATCAGAAGCATAACAATGCATCGCCGACCACGTACTCGTCCAAAGACGTAGAAGGAACAAATACTCTGAATTGCCCACCTGCAGACTCCATCACGTCCCCACACGAAGCTTCCGTATCGTTCTCCTCCTCCTCCTCCTTACCACCATCTCTACCATCTCTGCCAACGCTGGCTCTCGAACAACTCGAAGCACAGCCAAGACCACTGAAGTCCAAAGGTTCACGGAGCGCAGATTCCAAATTGTATGAGAGGATTAATAAATGGATCGAGGAACAAATCGCACAGTTCAATAAACTTTACACTTGGATTAAGAAGGATCTCGAGCTCCAGAGGGAGGATTGGATCAGAAACATATATGCGAAATCTTTGACAAATGGCGACTTCAGGTACGCAATCATGCGGGAACACCCGCGTCATCCACTTCACAGTAAATCGCCTCGACATATTGTGCGGTTCATGGTGGCGAATGATATAACTGAGTCGCTTTGGCAAGAAGACCCCAGGCTCCGGAAACTTCACCAAGAACTCAAGCTGGACGAGGAACTCTTTCAAGGATGGTTCATGTTATGATTTTGTACTATTGTGTCGTCATAAAGTGAAATCGTACATTGATCACAAGCAAAGAGAATGCAAACAGCGAAGGACTTTGTTGTTGAAGATGGGAAAGTCATATGGGCTAAACATACAGAACAATGGGCTGATAAAACTTGGGAAGGACCCAAAAGTAATCGCGGCAGACCGAAGCCTAAGAAGAGTTAAGGATACGCTGGCTTGAGTGCTTGAAACGAGAGTAGTTAAGATGTCATCACGCAAACCTAGGTATTGCGGTATTTGAATAACCGTTGGGTAGCGGGACCCATTTGTACACTCTACTCACTATGACCAGAATCGAAACTTTCAATCATAGCGGGAAATATCTCGAAAGGTTGACTTGATTGTTCATGAAGTTCTAAGAGGCTTGAATTTGATTCGTCCCCACCCGACCCGCGCGGCTGAAAAGGGCTCCGCACCTGCATCCCGAATGGCATCTTTTGGAGTCATCTGAAGACAACATGTGTAATATTCAACCGGGTCAATAACCAGATGAGTATTCTGCGTCATCACGCATATCGGACTGCCTGAATATCCGCCTGAGACCAATATAGAAACTTTCCTTATGGCAGGCGACAGCCTAGCGTGGTTGAGCCGAGCGATCAAGAAGCTCACAGTCACAAAAAATTCGGAGCTTCAAGGAGAAATCAGTGGCAAGGAGCGGACAAAATGTACGAAGACAGTGCTAGACAATAAAGGCCGAGATAAGTTTGACAAGAACGAGAGACATTCAGAGACCGACACGAAGGCCGAGGCTGAAGTCAGAAATATTCGTCCCGGGCCAAGTGCCACTGAATTGACATCTCTTTATCAACCACTCGATATAGAATCGAAAGAAATCAGGGTTCTGTATCTGGTTCCAGGAGCATGGAACGATATGATTTGTTGCACGATGGAGACTCGGTCTCTAAGCGACGCATACCGGAAATACGAAGCTTTATCCTACGTATGGGATGCTGAACCAGGTTTCCAAGCAATTGTTGTCAATGAGCAACCTCTTTCCGTCAAGAGAAATCTCTTCCTTGCCTTGCGGCGTCTGCGGAAGTCGAACGAGCCCCGAATCATGTGGGTAGATGCATTGTGCATTAATCAGCAAAGCAACGTCGAGAAGTCTCATCAAGTCGCCCTTATGAGAAACATTTACCGGTCTTGTGTGCGGGTTTATCTTTGGCTTGGAGACTACTCCACTAATCCCTCCGACACTCGAAGCGTGGAGGATGGTATCAGAGGACATCCCGAAGATTGGATCAAACAAGATAATATGTTTCAAGCTTTCAATCTAATCCACGAATTGTCAAGAAATAAACATCTTCACGAGCTCTCGTGCTACGACAAAAAAGAAAGACAAAAGGCCTTTTCACCCTGAGATCCTCGATGCTTATATATCTCTGGTATCGTCACCATGGTGGGACAGACTCTGGGTGGTACAAGAGAAGATATTATCCCCCGAGTGTCTCTTAGTATGTGGATCCATGTCAGCCCTGTGGGTGATATTCTCGAAGGCTATGGATAATGTTGTTATTCATGGAAAAGATTGCTTTAGGCAATCGTGGAACGAGCTTAGATCCAAACAGAACGAGGCGATGCTGAAGAGCATAAGAAAAATCAGAGACTTCGGGCAAATGACTGATCGCACTAAAAGCTGGATGGACTTTTATCGCTTCATTCTACACCACCGCAATAGAAAGTCCAGCGATCCTCGAGTGAGTCGACCCGGCGATACCACGGCTATGCTGATGAATTGTTGTAGGACATGGTTTATGGATTGTCTGCACTGGCACCACATATTCCGCCTGAGTTAATCGCGGATTACTCGCTCAGCAAAGAAGAAATATTTGAACGTCTTGTCCTTTTGTTCATCAAAGAGCATGGTACACTACATGCTCTCAGAGGTCAAAGGACTTTGATTGAAAACTCGAAGAGCTGGGTGTACGACTGGAGCTCGGATGTTGATGATAGGCTCTGGTATCAGGAGAGCATGAGACTTGAGATCGTACTTTACAAGGCTTCTAGAAATAAGAAACCTGTGGTAGAGAGTTGTAGTGACGGACAACTCTCTGCTGATGGGGTATTTTTTGATCTTGTTGCTGAGAGAGGACAGACCTGTGATAATTCACCCGAGAGCAGGATAAAGTCCTTGCGGGAGTGGTACAATTTATGTCAGAATGCCAGCAAGCAGATGCCACGAAGCATGTGGCGAGAAGACTTTCTCCGCACGGTGATTGGCGATGTGGCTTATAAAGTCGACAACAATGGTATCATGAAAATCGGCATGAGAACTCCAGCAGATATGAAAGATGTGTTCGACGACTGGTTAGTGTATAGAGAACGACCTAGCCAATACAAGAGCACTGGTGACTCTGATCTTGCTATGTTCGACGACCTGGTCAAGACAATGGCAACAGGCTTGAAGTTCTTCCTCAGTACGTTGAACTTTGCCCTCCTTACAATGATACTTCGAGGCTGAGCTCTCGAGACACTCTTTTGGAAGAGTTTGGCTCCTGTATCCTTCAATATTCTGTCATGAAATATGCTGATTTATTAACAGCCGAGAAAGGATACATGGGACTAGGTAATCCTGAAATTGGTGATGAGGTTTGGGTTTTGCTTGGTGGTGATAAACCATTTCTCCTCCGGCCACTTCCGTCTTCGACGAGCCACTGGCTCATTGGGGACTGTTTTGTAAACGGCATCATGGATGGAGAGGCCCTTGAGGGCTGGAAAACAAAGAAACGAACGGTTCACTTGAAATGAAACATTTTCACAACCTCAATGTTCAACATTATCTTCGGAAACCTGGATCCAGAGGCGATAGACCAACTATCCGTTGACATGAACACCGAAGCGCTATGACTCTGCAAAATCCTGCCTCGGTATGATAAGGCCTAAGTAAGCGCGACTACCAGCAGGATACCAGTTGAAAGGTGATGTACCTCGAGCGGGAAGCGTTGCGGTCCACTGAGACTTTGAATGAGCTTGGGGTGAAAACGAGGCTGGTGTGGTGTGGTGAAGAGGGAAAGAAGGCATTGGCAAATGGAGGAGACTCTGTCTGGGAAGTTGATAGCGAGGTGGATTCGGAAGATGCGAGGGTGGAAAGGAAGGAGCACAGAAGGCAAAGCAAGTACGAATCGAAACATTGGCAAGGGTTGATTTGAAGCAGTATAAGCGCATAGTAGTCGTTTAAATGATATTCGCTTCATTATTCGAGCATTCGAGCTAAGATTCCTTGCTATGGGAGCCTAGGTAGCTTGTGCGGAGTGAAGGATTGAATAAATTCCCAAGTCGCTTGATGCCAAGGAAAAGTCGCAAGCAATGTGTTCCCTGAACGATCTGCAACCCTCATTGAAGTACAATGTCTATCAGATCCTGGGTATTATCCAAACCTTTGTACATCATTTATACATACTTTTGATACATTTCCCTTGGAGTGTCAAGGGTTGATCGTCTCAGACTTCACCAGCTCCTTTGGTGGGATGGGTACGCCAGCCTCGGACGCTGGAGACGCCTCGTTCAGAAGTCCGTCGGCTTCTTCCTCTGAAAATTCGTTCTCAAGCGAACTCGATTCTCGTGATTCGTCCTCTATCTCCACATCCTCTTCGAGGCCTAAACCATCCTGAGCCTGTCGCTGTTGTTCCTGTTCTGCCATTTCCAGCTCTAATGCCTTCTTCCTTAAGTAGTTGAAATGTTTCTTCTTCGCACTGTCAAACTGTACCTCGGCCAAGCACTCGTCAATCTTTGCTTCGACGAGGCCTTTCACATGAAAGGCGAGGGCTTGACTTCTGAAGACACCAGCAAATCTATAGCTTAACCACAGGTATAGCGTCAACGCTTTGTGCAAGCTCTCAGCAGATTTCAAGTAAGCCTTGCTACCAAGAACATAAGTGTCTTTATCGAGGTCGAGCAACTCTAGATTGAGAGTTTTGAGGTCCAGAAGTTCACCTCCAGATTGAGTGGCAACACACTCTGCAAATTCTTGAACGATTTTTCCGAAGCCTGGTTCCCGCAAAGCTACAGGAGCAGCCATAAACGTGATTCGGTCCATAGTCGACAGGTCGTAGGGTTCTAGCAAGTCTGCTATATCAACCTGCTCTTTAAGACGGCACATGTGAAAAAGATCACCCAGCTTGCACATGTCCCAAAGGCGGCGGGTTATATAGCTGAAGGCAGTTCCCTTCGGAAAGTAAGAGGCGTACCTGAACAGGATATGCGCCGGGGGCTGAATCCCAGCAGTCTTGATAGGTTCTACTTCAAGATCCATCGCTTTCCGAACGACAGGCAGGTCGAATCTTTCAAGCGTCGTCACCAATCCATTTGTGCGATCGGCCTCTTCTGCTAGGGGCACTATCGTTCGTTCGTGCTGAGGAGAACTCTCGTTGACAGCTTGGTGGGCAGTTTTGTATCTCCCAGCTCGTCCAGCGATTTGTTTGATCTCGGATGGTTGTATAACTCGGAATGACATACCGTCGTGCTTTGAGATGGATTCGAAAACCACTCTCTTAATGCTCAAGTTCAATCCCATACCAACAGCATCACTAGCCACTAAAAAGTCATAGTCGTTGTCGGGATTGTTGAACAGTTCGGCCTGTTGTGCACGAGTCTCGGGGGGTAAGGAGCCATACACCACGGCACATCGTTTGCCAGTACTCTTCTCGATATCGGCTTTCATGGCATGGATTGCCACACGAGAAAACAAGATTACAGCATCACCCTTTCTGAGTTTGGTAAGGTCGCCTTCCAGACTTCTCTTTTCCGCCGCCAAAGGACTCAATCGCTCATATTTGTGTATGACCAGCTTGTCACCAATGGCAGCACAGATATCGGAGACGAGTTGAATAGTACGCAACTCACCACAGAGATGTACTTCGTCTGCTTGCACCCCCAAAAAGCCTTGCGTCCATGCCCATCCACGATCAATGTCTCCCATCATCTGGATTTCGTCGATGACTGCAACGTCAACTTTCTTGTTGAGAGGCATCATCTCAACCGTACAGCTACTCATTTTCATGAGTCCGTCCTCAGGTATTCGGCGCTCTTCTCCTGTGATTAACATACATGACTTTCCCTTGGCATTGAACCTTGAATACACCTCGTGGGCCAATAGTCGTAGAGGGCCAGCATATATTCCAGTATTCGCCGCTTCAAGCCTCTTCAGTGCATGGTATGTTTTGCCAGAATTAGTGGGGCCAACGTGTAGATGTATAGTTCTGTGCATGGCTCTCGTAGCAGGAAACCATTCGAAAGGATGTCGGAGATCCGATAATCTGTCTTGATTCGTCTTGTCTTGTTGCGAGAATTTGAATTCAACAACATAATTGATGAATGCGAACTTTGTCTCTGAGCGTAAAGCGTTGACGCCGCCAACTACGAAGGCTCGTCTGAACCGAGAGAACAGTGGATTGGTCTCCTTGTGTAATTTTCCATCCTCAATCAGTATAATAGAGTTTCGAATTTGGCCCTCGTATTCGTTGAGACGTTCTGCAAGCATCTCGCGTGAGGTTATACCCCAAGTCGTATATTCAGTCTGCGCGGATTCTGGACGCAGAGAATACTTTAGTTTCGTGAACTCTTCAACAAGAAGTTGTCCGAAAACACTATATGTGGTTGATTTCGACAGTATTCGTTTCGAGCCACTTTTCATTTCCGTTGAGTTCAGAGTAAATTCTGCTCCTGGTTTCCGAAATCTTGATCTAATCACGGAAGAATTGTTGTAACGATGAGAAGCCTGTGGAACTTGGATCAGTGGTCGTCTCACCTAATGAAATGCTTACTGACCATGAATCTTGCAGCAGGTGGCCCCAATTCTGAGGGTCGTGATCGATTTATAGTTGGAGTTCGTCGAAATTCGACTGTCTGGCTGTACTGTCTCGCACCATTGGCCGGTGAGAAAGGGGCCGTGAGGCATGCTGAAGGTCTAAATGTGCAGAATACACACTTGCCACCTTCTCGTGTTGAAAATGACATTACTGTGAAGATGGTGGGGAGTCCACCAACACTCGGAGGTTGGACACGATGATGTGTAGATTTCTCGCGCCAAAAAAATATCAGGGGCGACGCGCCTTATCTTATCAAGCGGAAGGTTAGTCTAGGGTAGTGCCAAGACAGTGGAGCGGGGCGGAGAAAAATTCCGCTGGAGGCAAGAAGAAGCAACAGCAGCCTCGTTGTCATCAGAGGTTCTATCCAATGTACAACAACAATCTGAATAATCCGACTTCACCTGACACAACGTGCTACTTGCTTTCGCTCAGTCTCTCTCAGAGCACAATCTCTTTCATTACAACTTGACGACTTCCATTGCATGAGAACAACCTAAAATACCTGAACCATGGCCTCGTCATCGTCACCCCCAACTCCGCTCTATTATGCTTGCATCGCACACAACACCACAATCTTAACGGAACATACGACTTCAGCCTCGTCTCAGACCTCATCTCTCGCCTCACTTGTCCTACCAAAGATAACACATACCTCAGCGCAAAAGCTCACCTATACACACGACCAAAAGTTCATTCACTACATCGCCGATGCTCCTTCCGAATATCCTCCCTCATCCTCCTCCGCTGGCGGACTCACCTATCTTGTAATCGCAGACGCATCTCTGGGCCGCCGAATACCCTTTGGCTTCCTCGTCGAGATCAAGAAGCGCTTCCTAGCACAGTATCCACCCGAAAGTACCGACTTCACAAGTCTTCCGAACTATGGAGCTGGTAGTTTCAACACCGAGTTGAAGAAGTTGATGATAGACTATGGAACTACAAAAGCTGGCAAGGAAGATGCAATCAGCAATGTGCAAGGAGAGATTGACAATGTAAGGGGTATTATGAGCCAAAACATTGAGAGTCTATTGGAGCGAGGCGAGAGAATTGATCTGTTAGTCGACAAAACAGACAGACTTGGAGGAAATGCACATGAATTCCGCATTAGAAGCCGAGGTCTAAGAAGGAAAATGTGGTGGAAGAACGTGAAGCTTATGGCCTTGCTCATTGTGGTCGTCATCTTCCTGATCTACCTCTTCGTTGGATTTGGTTGCGGCTTGCCTGGATGGTCGAAGTGCGTTGGTTAAAATGCTGGAGAGACGACGGGCATTGTATGATTTATGACAGTCGGCGGTTCTCGAATTATCACCTATACCATTAGGGTTTGCAAGAAACAGTTCTGGGTGGGGACATTGTACAAATGGCTATAGCCTGAATTTCATTTCCGTTCATCAGCGCTGGTATCTCATGTTACTCGTAGTCTTTGAATGCAGCATGCACATTATCTGCATGTCAGTCTCAAATGCCAAATCCAGACTCCATCCCATGCAATTGTTCATATACATCATCCGTGACTTGTGCAGTCACCATCCGCTTGCTAGTCATCACAATCTCGCAGAGCCGTCAACGCCCTTCCGCACTCCATCATTATACACATAGCCCTCTGCCACCGGTGTTGACCAACTTCCATTCCCGGAATTCACACCCGGCGGAGCTTTCTTGAACCTATCTGTGAAGAACACTGGATGTCGCATGGCAGATTGGAATTGCTGCTGTGGGTGGCCAAGAACCAGTGTAGTAGGCAACGGCACTGTGGGAGGCATAGCTTCAATCTGATTCCTTGGGGGTAGATATTGAAAAGTCGGCGGACCGGGCGTTGATGTAAAAGTTCTCGTAGGTTGTTGATTTAAGGGTGGGGAGGAGTTCGAGGGTGGAACCTAAAAAACTGATTAGCATGTATTGCGATGGGCTTCATGAGGGAATTGATCGAGGGGCAATATACCTTCGGTCTTGAAGGCTGTAGTGAGGAGATCATAGAGGTTTCTTCTTTTGATAGCTGCTCGTGTGGTGTGTTGCTCTGAAATATTTGGGAGGTGGACTTGCGAATCATCAGGAGCCCCACACGAGATTCCAAGAGTGCTTGGATACTGAATCGGACTTCCTTGAGGCAGGACCTCTAATAGAAGTTGTTTTCAAAGAGGCGAAGTTAAAGTATAGCTCTCAACATACTTGGATGGAATATAGGGAGACTTAGATTGTAGGGTAGCTCGGAACTTCTCCGCTTCTCGGCTTCCCTGCACCATGACAGCATGCCGAGGATCCCCGAGCACATGATAGTATCTGAAGTCGTCTGGAATATCTAAATTTTGCTAAACCGGAAGTGATGATTGAGCTTTAAAGACTTCATGGTTTGTTTTTGTACAGAGTACTAATGTATTTCATATACTAATTCTTCCCTGGCAAGTAGATTGTCCGAGGAGAAGTATCTATCCACAATAATAGTCCTATAACTCTTGCCATAATTCACCAAAGCTCAAAGGATCCACCTCGAGTTTCCAGTCATTCGTCGAGTATATACGATCAAGAAATAGGCCCAGAGCAAGAACACCAAATATGAATAGCAGCACCTTAACCCATCGTATCTCCCACAAGGGCCCCAAAACTTCCGGACAATCGATTGAGATTCTGAAAGACGTTGGATCTTCATGCACATTCCTAACAAACGTCCTCAATACCTTCACTTCTTCACGATCTCTAATTTGTAGCCTCTGATTTTGTCTCTCCATGATATCACAAATCGTCTTGATATCCACGACATCTATTCTCCTTTTCTCAGCGTCCATCCTCTCACCCCAAGCCAGAATCTTCTGCCTCAGTAACCACGGCGCGTTCAGCAGCTTAAATCTCTTTCTGTTGATTGCCCACAAGATTCGTCGACTCCCTGATGGGTCTAGGCTAAAATCATAGTATAGTCTCCTTTCCGGGAACATATAATGATCTAGCAACTTGAAACTGACGGCTATCTTCTTCTCTCCGTATCTCTCAGTCCTGGTGATGATAACTTTCGGTACTCTGATTCCGTTGACCATCCAGCAGACGAAGTTGTCTGCGAATCTCTTCTCTGAAAACCTCGCAGAGATCTCTGCTGCTGATGCTTGATTAGTCGGTTGGATAACTATAGATATATTTGATGTCGGACGGTGAGGAAAGCCATAATGGCGAGCGTAAAGACTAATTGCTGCGCTTCCAATGATGCCATTACTTACGCCCAGAGAATTGAGCGCATCTGTAATCTTTATGATCGCTTCGTCAAGCTCGCTTGAGGATAGGAGAGGAGATTGAATCTTATCCATAGTGAACGAGTTATAGCTTGTAGCTGGGCCGAGGACGGGTACCATAATTGGTGAATTCATGACACTGTTGTCCCTTGCCTATGATCAAAATGAGCATTCATTGTGTAGGATTTCGGAAAGAATTCTGTTGTTTTCGGCGTTGAAGTCCTTTGTGCTGCAATTGAAAGGGGAGCGAGAATGTAATGTTTCACTTGAACAATAAAGAGATAAGAGCGACAATTGCCATAGACATGAAAAGCACACATAAAATAGTTAAACATATGAAACAATAGATTTGATGTCTTGTTCAAGAGTTGTAGACTTAGGACATCACACTTCGTAAATTGCTTCATCAGTCAATTGAGATTGTTGGGTAGGCGGGTCATACCAGCTGCCTGCCGTTTGTCCAGAACTCCATCGCTATGCATCCGAAGTGAACTAATCATAGGACTCGTGCTTTATTTAGCCTTCTTTTGCCTCCGAGACTTCGATTGTTTATTTTCGGGATTGGCAGCAGTCTGTTCAGCTGGCTTCTCTCCCGCAGCTTTTTCGCTTTTTCCTTTCTCCTGCTCCTTCTTTTCTAGGGCTCGTCTTACAGCCTCTTCTCTTTCGACTCTCTCGATGAGTTTCTCACTGGCTTCCCACAACTTCTTCGCGGCTGTCTCATCTTTTATATCGGTCCTGGCATAATCCATTTCTTGGCATTCTTTGATAAGTTTGCCACCAGGTCCACGTCCGAACGTGGCATCCATAGCTGCGTAAAGGAAACTCTGTGCTCCTCCTTCCGAGCTCTTCAAAATGAGATAAACGTTCTGCCAGAAGACCAGATATAAAGCAAGACCCCATAGTGTTCCTCGTGTCAACCATCGTCGCATACCTGGCGTCCGAGAATACCCAGGGTCTACAAACAAGACTCTCGCATTAACCGGTGCTCCGTCGGGTCGCTGGTATGAATCTAGATGTTTCTGAAAAGCAAGCCCAAACATCATCAGTGCCAATTTACTTCTGGCGTATGCTTTGGTTGGCGTCCAATCCTTCTTCTTCATCGCTTCGGTGCCATCTTCGATCGGAGGAGAAGTGATATATGAAGAACAGGTGGCAAACAGTATTCTGATGTCTCGATCTGGCGGTTGTGCTCGAATGGCAGGGCTCAGAATACTGAGAAGGTGGAAATTTGAGAGATAATTGACCATCCATACCTCTTCCAGACCTTCACTGGTGACTGCTCGAGGTTTGCCGGCCGGTGTCAATGTCGCAGCACAGAGAATGATCATATCCAATCGTCTTGGAGGGGCATTGTCGATCCATCTCGTTGCGAATTGGCGAACGCTATAGAGCGAAGACAGGTCAACTTGTTCTGCATATATCATCTCGTTTCCGCTCTTCTCTCGTAGGTCCTCGATAAAGTCGACAAGAAAAATATCTTGTGGCGATTGATGAACAAGTAATATTATCTGAGCACCTCGTTGGGCTAATCGTAGAGCGGTCGCGGCACCTATTCCCGATGTACCTCCTGTTATCATGACAATCTTCCCATGCATTTGTCGCTCTGCAGTGTTGGAAGCACCCATGGAATACCATTTTATAAGGCCAACGATTACCAGTGCAACGGTGAGTTTGAACATGGCCCGGCCATCTGGAAGCCAAGGAATGCCCTTGTAGACTACTTCTGCGAAAAAATGTATAGGCATGATTGTAGAATTAGAAATTGGAACGAATGTTTGAAGCCTTGCCGTCAGCTTGGAATTGTTGCGAAATTGTCAGAAAGGGGCTCGAACTCCAGCCAAGTTTTCGTCATCAAGGCTGACAGTCCAAGATTTAAGCTTAAATCCTTAGCGCAAGTTCTCGGCGCCACCTTTATTACTGTAGTACGGATCGCCTTCCAAGCCAACATAAAGTAACAGACCAGAACAAAGCCTCAACCCTCGACCATGTCGGACGATGATACCTACGAAATTCCGCTCCAAGACCAGCGTGTCTTCGGGGCCGGTATCAAACGAAAACGAGTCAAGTTTGTACCGTCAACAAACAACTCTTCAACTGTATCAGAGCCAACAACCAAGCTCCCTGCCACATCTGTGAGCGACCTCTATCTACGATTAGTACTACCAGGTGACCAACGGACCAGCTCGATCATATCTCAGTCTCCCAAAGATGCTCTTCTATCTCCCAAAGATGCCTCTAGAAGACTCGGAGTTACAGGTGAAGGGCTTGCAGAACCTGTTAGGGTTACTCAAGTCTGCGAGATCTGCAATTTACCACTGTCGTCTGGTTTACAAACTGCATCTGATGCTAACCCTTCTTCCTCTGACTACCCAGCAAGCTCACGACCCCATGAAGCCTCGTTAGCACATTAAGTCTGCTTGACACACTCCCATCCACCGTCACACCTCGACAGAAACCGGAAAGGGCTGACATATCTCTCTGCTTATGGATGGGATCCAGACTCTCGTCGTGGACTTGGTGCAGAGGGACAAGGCATACAATTCCCAATCAAATCAAAACCAAAAGACGATAAGCTAGGAATTGGCGTCGTGCTACCGAAAGAAGGAGACAGGATGAAGAAAGTGAAGCCTGAGAAGCTTGACGCAGGAAAGGTCAGAAAGCTACAAGAGAAAGATAAGAAAAAGGCCGAGAGATTACGAGAAATGTTCTATCGAAACGACGATGTCGAGAGGTATTTGGGTGGCGGATAATACATCCTGAAGGACTTTGTATAGCCAGGCATGGTACGTCGTAGCAGCAAGTTGCAGCAATAGCAAGCGGCGCATGCAGATTCGGCTGCTGGAATAGTCACACGTTCAGAAGCTTCAGGACTACGTATTAATATGGCACGACTAGCCGAGTCTGTAGGTACGCTCACGGTTGAAATGAGGCCCTTCCCTTTACATGCCGCAGGATGCAGCCTCGAGCGCTTTGAGCTACACTACAATATGGGCAAGTCGAGAGAGACTCGAACTCTTCAGCTTAGAACTTCACAGCGCGTATTGTATAGGCGCTCCGTTCTGGATTCGAACATCCCATCTGTTGTGGCCTTGTGTATTTTTGTCAAACCATCATTACAGGAGAGCTTCAAATCTCTCTCAGCAAGGGGAGGGGTACAGATTCGCGTAGTGGGGTACGGAACATGTAGCAAATTAATTGAAACCCTTCAATGTCTGGTAATAAAAAGGCTTTGAGGAATTCTTCTTGTCCACCTTGAGAGTACAGATATTCTAGACAGATTTTATTGCTGTTGTCATGCATCTATGAAGAATCTATTCTAGAGCATAAAAGGTTGCCTCCCAAGGCCCGTTAGCGTGTGACACTCGTTTCGTTTCGAGGCACGAGGCTCCCCGCCAACCTCGATCCTCATTATACACACCTCAATTCTCCAACTCCACGACGCTCTTTCGGTTCTAGCAACTTCTTGACCTCCTCCCTTGTACATAGCGACCCGCATCTAGACAAAGACCTAGCCCCAGCTAGGCAACGAAACCAAGATGGTGTCCGCAATCCAGGAACAGCGCGATAGTGAGTAGCATGACACCGGTTTCTTCGAGTTCATGACAGACTGACCCGAAAAGTTATCTTGGATGCCATTAAATCAATTACTCGGGGAGACGTAAGTCTGCTTCAGCTCTCTCATATCTCTCACTGACAACATCCAGTGGAAAGTGCTGGTCATTGATGAAACTGCCAAGAAGATTATAGACAATGTTGTCAAAGAAGACGACATTCTCAATGAGAATATTGCTAGTATGTGGAATGAAGGGACAGTAGCGCAGCAGTACAGTTAGGTAACATGTCGCAGATATCGAGAGGATCGAGGAGAAGAGAGAGCTCAACCCGGACATGGACGCCATATACCTATTATCTCCACAACCCCATATTGTCGACTGTCTTATGGCAGACTTCGAGCGCCGAAGATATCGAAAAACATTCCTCATATGGACGGCTCTCCTCGACCCCCAGATGCGCCGGCGCATCGATGTTTCGAGGCAGGCTCAGGAACAACTGGCCGGGTTCGAGACATTATCCATAGATTTCTTCCCCCGCGAGTCACATTTAGTTACTTTCAGAGATCCATGGAGCTTCCCTATTCTCTACCACCCTGCATGTAACAATCTTGTCCGCGATCATATGCAGATATTGGCACAAAAGGTAAAAGCTGCCCGAACCCTGATCTAAAATCTTGCTGATTCTCTAGATAACTGGAATTTGTGTTTCGTTAGGAGAATACCCAAAAGTTCGATACTATAAACCTCGATTTCCCTCGCATGAAGCAGCAGTTCTTTGCTCGCACTTAGCAAGGTTCGTACAAGAAGAGCTCGATGCCTACGCGAAATGGAACCAAGATTTCCCACCACCTGCCTCTCGACCACAAGGTGTTCTGGTTATCACAGACCGTGCTATGGACATATTTGCACCCTTATTGCACGAATTCACGTATCAAGCCATGGCACATGATTTATTGCCTATAAAGGAAGGCGACAAAATCTACTACAAGACCGTCGTCAACTCCGGAGCCGCTGATCAAGAGGAGAAGGAGATGGAGATAGGAGAAAAGGATAAGATCTGGGTCGACAATAGGCACAGACATATGAAAGATACGATCGAGAAGTTGATGGGAGACTTTCAGAAATTTATTGACGAGAACCCACATTTCACCAACTCGGAAGGAGATGCAACAAGTCTGAATGCGATCAAAGATATGTTGGCTGGACTACCCCAATTTCAGGAACTAAAGGAGGCATACTCGTTGCACCTCAGCATGGCACAGGAGTGTATGAACATTTTCCAGCACCAGAAACTACCAGATATTGCTTCAGTTGAGCAATCTTTAGCAACTGGTCTTGACGAGGACTTCCGGAAACCAAAGAACCTTGCAGACCAAGTAGTCCGACTACTCGACGATGAAAATATCGGGCCGTCTGACCGGTTACGATTGATTATGCTATACATCATTTGGCGTGACGGTTTAATCGGGGAAGATATCCAACGACTCCTAGCTCACGCATCACTTCCACCACAAGACGGAGAGGTCATCACAAATCTCGAACTGCTCGGAGCTCATCCAACCAAGGCGCTGAAAGAAGTCCGAACACCGCCACAGCCGGTCTTTCCAAGAAAGACTAGCCCAACGGCCCAGAGCGAAGAGTATGCACTATCACGGTATGAGCCAAACGTAAAGTTGATGCTTGAAGAACTTACAAAGGGGACGCTTGATCAAACAATCTTCCCATATGTGAAGCCTCCACTCGATAACTCAGAAGAACTAGCTGCGCAAGCACAAACATCACTTCGGAGTGCAAAACCAACCTGGGCCAAGAACCGAATGTCGACAGTGGAAAGTCGACAGAGGTTGATTGTATTTATGGCTGGTGGCGCAACGTACTCAGAATCTCGCGCCTGCTATGAAGTTTCAAAAACAAGTGGGCGTGACGTCTTCCTAGCTACTAGCCACATGTTCACGCCAGCACTTTTTGTGAGGCAAGTTGGAGATCTAAGTGTGGATCGAAGGAGGCTGGATTTACCTATGGACAGACCAAAACCCAAAGCTCCAGCACATCTGTTCCAGTCAAACGAACCCCGACCTGCAGCACTTCCAACTGGACCAGGACCCAGGCAGGGCATGGGGTTACCTGGAAGACCCGGCGCATTACCAAAGAGTCCCGGAGCTCCTCTTCCCCCACAGAAAAGTCCAGCATATGATGTTCACGGCAATTCATATGATAGACCATCACCTCAGCCCCCAACAGCCGGTCTGGCTGCTATGAGCATGAATACTGGAGGGAAACCAATCCAGTTGAACGGTGCTAATGGTGCCGACACATCTGGCAAAGGGAAGCTTGAGAAGAAGAGCAAACACAAAGATGAGAATGGTGAAAAGAAAAAAAGAGGCTTCTTCCACAGGTGAGGTTTTGCAAGCATGGTACTTCTATCACTTGGGAGCATATTCAGCATTGCTTTAGTGGCTGCATAGGTGTTTATTGGCTGCAAATCTTGGAGGAGTTAGAGGAACATAACGCTGTATCTGCCGGAGACCGGACTGAGCAGGAGCTAGCAGATACCATGACGACATGAACCAATGTAGACTAATAATACATCAACGCTCTAGGCTTTTGTCTGAGGAGCATCATATATTGACATTTCAAAGTTGACCGTATCGGCGTATGTATCGATTCCATGTCCTTGATTTAATGTCGCCAAACTCACATTGCTGCTTTTGTCTACCTTATATTTTTAACAACTAATAGCAGAACCTTGCGCCTGACATCCACCGGTTCAAGCTCGTCTACCATTTAAGTCTCATCGTCAAGTCACATCGATGAGTGCAGCGTCACGAAGTCTTTAGTCTTCTAGCGCCTTTGTTCTGAAAAAAGCCCCATGAAGTTCTGAATGTAAGTTTGTCTCCTTGACTTTCCGGCGGAGAATCCTTGATTTTGGAGGTGGGCCAGGCAGCTCCTCTCCGTGTTCTTCTGATCTTCTCGTCATAATCTTTCTGGAGGCTGTAGCTAACATATCATCTAGAATGGAGCACGAAATCTCGAAAAGCTGCTGGATGTGGAACTATACTTCCTTGTCAGCGTTCAAGCTAAAATTGAGCTCTATCGTGTTGGTCACTTACCCAGCTCAATTCTTTTTGGATCCAGACATGACCATCACTGTCCTCTTTGTACACGAATCCTAATCCTAATGCACGGAGCGCCGAGTCGTTTGCCCACGCTTTATGAAGCACTGTCCATTCAAACTTCGCAGTTTGGAAGTTTCTCAAATCTTCCGGCACAAGTTCGACAGTATAGAATGGCTCTGGTCTTGAACCTAAGTAGAACTTGTACTCATCCCTAGAAGCCTTGAACCATAGCTGCTCAATGTTCAAGCTAAGAATATGTGAAAGAATGTTAGTCCCAGATTGAAATGGTAGCGGGGCCTTCCAAGCTTGACGGTGGCAGTGAGATCTTTCCATGGAACGTTCCTGCTTTTTCTGACCCGAGCATACTTCATCATCATTTATTTGCTCGTCAAGTGATACATCAGGGGGTACGAAGCCATTCTGTCTAGCATCTGGACTGTGCTGGGATTTTCCATTGGGTGGGCTTCTAGGTGTATTCTCTTCCTCAGGAATTTTATCGCTGTCGTGGCCGTCACTGTGCTCTTGATCTCCACCCAGTTCAGTTTCCGCATCATCGAGATCCTCGTCCAACCAACTCGGCGCAGACTTTAGCTCATCGGGAGAAGTTTCATATCCTGAGTCCGATTCTTCCAGATCAGTATACTTTTGTACTCCTTGAACTAAGGACAGCCATTGCCCTTGCAGTTCTGAGATATCATTCGAATATGTGGCGAGAGTTTCAGCCAGCCCGCGATGCTCTTCGTCCAATCTTCTAAACTGCTCTTCATTATCCTTCATCGTCATTGTCTCCTTATCACTCTTGATCCTCTCTATGTCCGCAAGTTTCGCAGTGAACTCTTCTCGCACCCTTCTCTTCGCGTCTGCTAAGGTGATTTGAAGTTCATTCAATCTTTCATTTTCTGCTGACAGTCGGTCTTCCAATCCTTTGATATGTGCCAAGAATGGCTGCAGTGTTTCTGATGCGGCTGGTCGTTCTCTCACACGTGCCTCGAAGTTCGTGTAAGATGTCTCGATCTCCAACCGTATTGAGTTGATAGTGTTCTCCTTGTTCTCTTTATGGATAAGCTGTATTTCAAAGTTGTTCATTTCCAGCGCACGTTGAGCCTCAAGAGCTGTTCGGTCAGCCTCAGCGGCTTTCTGCACCTCCTCGAGTTGATTACTGAGGCTAGCTTTATTTTGTTCTTTCTTGAGATGTAGCTCCGACATACTCTTCTTGAAAGATTCTGCCAGCTTTCTTGAAAAGGACTCCATTTCCATGACTACTTCCGACTCACATTGTGATACAAGGTTGCTGTAGGCGTGTCTGTAGGTATTCGAAAATAGTGGAGGCATGCCATAAATTGCATCATTATTTGAGTCTTTTTCTGTCTGCTCTTCCATGGTATTAGGCTCTGAGGGCTTCGTCCACTGATACAGTAAGAATTGGCTGGGATCTTGGTCTGCAGGTACGTGAATACCAAGTGCAGTCGGTGATTCTCCAGGCCCAACATTACACTCTTGGTCCTCGATCGGGACTGCATCTAGCAAGACTGTAGAGGTCAAAGTCGGCCTCTTTGAGTCTCGGTAATCCATCTCCTGAGGATCAGAGAAAGAGACGCCTCGTCGCGGTCTTGGTTCGTCAGCCAGGACTTGGCTTGTCTTCTCAACGTGCTGCAGCTTCCTAACAGAACGTTGTTGCGTATTGAACAAGTTACGCAGAATCACTCTTTCCTTCTCGGCATGTTTGTATCTATTCAGTGTTAACCAGAAACATGACGTCAATAGACCATGCTTCTCACTGTGCTTTCCTGAGCTTCAACGTCTGTAGCATCAGTCCTAATGTCGACTTCAGACTGTCAAGAGTCGCCATCAAAGTCTTCACCTTCCCCTCTCTGAATATCCACCCAATACTCTGCCCCAGCTTTGATAACTTGGATCTATTCGCTTTCTGTATCATTTTATTGATGTCTCTGAAAAGGATCTTGCATTTCTCAATGATTTGCCCGATACTCTCTATCAGCTTCTCGGATACGACACGCTGCGACGCAGGAGCGTTGAGAACATGACCCAGCTCTTCTAAGACTATAGCAAAGAAGTTCAAATCACTAGCAATGCTCTCAATACTATCTTGAGCTCCTTCGTAGGTTGTCTTGATGTCGTAAAGTGACGAGGCTAGCTTCAGGCCCGCCGATGCAACGCCGAATATGCTGGCAGCAACAGTTATTGGCTCCACCATCTTTGCTTTCAAGCTACAGCATCAGTTGTATCCCGTGATGACGTATGAAAACAGTTGTGTCCGACTGAAGTCATAGACAATTATTGAGAGGTTGGCGAGCGAGGTTGTGTCGAGCTGAGAGACTTGCATATTGTGGCGCTGAAACATGCGGCTGAAGGGATTCGAGTACTGTACAGGGGTTAAGAACAACGACGAGTGGATATACAATATACGAATGATTATTGTTCGGATTTGAGCTTTCATAGTTGATAGCTTCCTAGGTAGGTAATTGAAATGACATGCCCACGTGACAAGTAAACTTGAAAGAGGCATTTTGATACAGTCAAATTGTTGAGATCCGCGAAGCAGCATTATTTATGAGATGCCATGAAAGGAGGTATTACTACCGTTAATCATTGAATTACCATCTGTTGCCGTGCCTCAATCGTTGACGCGATCAATCGCGTTGAGAACTCTAGAAATATTCAGTGCAAGGCTGTCATATCGCCAAAATCTGCGAAGAGCTCGATAAATCTCCTTCGGGGATGGAACACAAGCTCCAGAAGAAAGTAGCCTTATCTTGAGCCCTTTGGCGAACTCTAGAGTTGTAGCCGTATGACATAAACATAAACATGAACATTTGCGCTGACTTGTGAATTACATAAGGTGAGAAGGCGATGTAATGAAAGCAAAAGTCAAGTAGAGGCACGAGAGCACCGAGAATGTTGTTGCGAATCATTGATCTGAAGGTCAGATTTGGAATGTTGTATAGATTCAATTAAGCAAATTTTTTCCGATCCTGTGGGGAGGCCAGGACTAGCGCTGGTGGCTCGAATCGCTATATAAGGTGTAAGTAATATTTCCTTTCTAACGAATTAAAACCAATGCTAATATTCTAAGGTGTGGGATTGAAACCGTAGCCTGTCATGGGCGTCCCATACGACAGTCACCTTTGTCCGCTACGAGGCGTCTCATCGAGAGATCACGATTCTAACTAGATTAGGTTATGTAAAAGACATCAAACCCTTAATTGGGTTTGTCTGTACCCCTTGAGCATTGCTTGCATTGCTTAAGGGGGAGTTTGTTGCTCCCGGGCTCTACGAACTTTTTTTTGGCATTTTTCTTAAAACATCTGTGTAGTTGAAGCTAGGCGAGTCGATATACTCGGCTTTTCTTTCGTAACACTTGCTACGTACACCAACTATAATCCGTATTTTGAGCGTGAAAATTAGATTTCGGCCTTCGGGAAAATATTCTCTACTTTCTGACAATTCTTTGGAGTGCCTAAACGCGTCGTTGTATCTTGGATCTTTGTGCAACCAGATTCTGCTGGCGCAAATTAAGCGAGATGTTCTCCTTTTCGCGGTTTGATTCAACATCTCCTCCTCTCCTCTTCTCCTCATCGCGCGCAACACGCCGTCTTGAAGAACCTTTCACCGCTCGTCGACTTACCATGTGAGGTCGATGTTACGGGTACGAATTGAAAGTGGCTCGATATAGCACGAGAAGCTTTATTATTCACTCTTTTTGAGATCTCCATTGAAGAGAACGACACGCGTAAGTCATTTGGGAGCCAATCAATCATCTTGTAGCAACCCCGCTGACTACTGCAGAAGCGATCTGGTTTTTTTTTTTGTTTTGGAATTGCTGCCCCAGACATTAAGGATCGCAGCGAATCTGGATGAATTTGAGCGTTGATACAGCTTCCAAAGCCAATGCCATGTAGCATTGGCTTCTGAGTCATAATAATGTCCACACCAAATAAGAAGAATAGCAGGATACGACGAAGAAGCCAAGTGCTTGAGAACCGCCTCCTCAATGGTGGCCCAGACGAGGAGTTATCTCACTGCAAAGGAGATTCATACCGAACTCAGATGTGTAAAGTCGGGATACCGGCTTGTATATGACTTGGACCCGGCTCTCAATTCCTCTCGTTTACGTAGGTAAATCCTCGGCAAAGTTTCTATCACAAACCTTTGCCAAGTTCAACGTCGTTACGAACATGGGGACAAAAGTCCGTGCGTTCAGGCTGTAGAA